ATTCCGGGCTTCTTTTTTTAAAATTTATCTTGCTGGAAGTATGGGGGCTCTGGTCAAAGAGGCTGGTTCGGGGTGGTGTTGGTCAGCTTTCAGGGAGAGAGTGGGGGTTTCTGGGGCGATAGTACCTGTTTTGTGCTTTTTTTTGGGGGCCTCATTAAACATTTCAGGTCCCAAAACGGACTTCCTGGCTCAATGGCACCCAAGGTGGCCCTTTGGCGTGGCTTGGGCAATTTTGGTGTGGGTTCCGACTAAAAGAGGTCAAACCCAAATAAGGGTTCCGTTTCTTTTTCTGCCTGAAGCACTGGGCAACTTTCTGGTGGTAGCTTCCTGCTTCTTTGTAGGTCCCTCAAAGGCTACTAGCTGGGGCCAGTCAAAAAAAAAACGCAAGATAACACCAGCTGGTTTAGGGGAACCCGTAGAAAAGCTGGTGGTGTTCGGATGTCCGTTCTGGTCATTCCATCCCACTTTTTGCGGTAAGCCAGGCCCATGAACAGAAGGAGCTCCCTTGGTATGACAGAAGTTGGCCCCAAAACCCAGTTTTCCGCACCGATGGTTCTGGTGGTCTTACAAGGGGGCTAAATACAAAAAAAAAAAACGGGGCTGTGGGGTAAGAGACTACGTTGCTTCACATATGAACTGAATTCGCCCCTCTCATTGTTCTGGTGCTTTCCCGTGGTCCGAATCACTCCAGAATCACAAACGGCCTGAAGAAAAAGGCATAGGGTCTGGAAAGCTATGAAGGAGTCCACCTCCAGAAGCACGGTGACGGTTGTCCACAAAGGTGGACATGTTTCGGGCCCCTTGAAAAGGAGAAAAAGATCAACTGGTTTGGTTCCAACAGGAGCCGCCATCCCAGGAAAATTGGAAGACATGTTAAGACTTGGTTGACACCTCCGTCTCAAGCCGCAAGGGCTGGTTTAGTTCACCAGTCACTGCTTGCTCTTTGGTTCGACCTGTATATGTTTCGCGATTTTTTGAAGAAATACCTCAGTGTTTCCTTTGGGGGTGCGGTCCCGAGCACGGACCGTTGCCAGCAGATGCTGAGACGCTCTGCCGCCAAAGAAAGGTCTTACAAACAGGGGTGACCAGGGGCCAAGCTTCCGAAGACGACAAATCACACCACTTTGTGATCTCGTTTGAAATGATTTGACGGTTCAGAAAATCAGAATAGAACCCCCGTTTGCTTATATGATTTCCCCTACGAATTCTATAGCTATTGCTGTACATGTAACCCAATCACTCCCCCCCCCAAATCAAGCAAGGAATTCCTGTGGTTGGGCGGCCGTTTGCCGCAGACAATGCTTCCATCCGCCTAAGCATATTTGTGATTTCCCCCCCCTGTTGGTTCTGGCTTCCGTCGAACAAGAGCGCCGTATGGGGATGGCACCTGAGCAAATTGTTCCCGGCCGAAAGCGCGGAACTGGAAGAAGGGGTTTTGGTGCAGGCGGAGGTGCTGAAGCGCCTCAGGAACGCCAAGGAGGGCGAGGCGCCTCTCGGGGTGGTGGGTGTTCTGCTTTTTAGATGGGTTTCTATTGGTGACCGGTGCGGGGGGGGGGATAGAATGAATATATATATATATATATATATTTGTGTATATGAGGGAGAGAGAGAGAGAGAGAGAGAGAGAGAAAAAATGTCAAAAACAGGCTGGTTGGAGTTGTGGTGGCGCTGGGTCTCCATTAGAAAGCACAAAGGGAACCGGGAAGTGTGTATGACTATTTCCTTCTTGAGGACCTTCTGGTAAGTTTCATGTTGCCGGGCGCCTGGCCAAAACAAAAATAAGTCCTGACTTGGCAAAGACGTTTCACCCATTGCGCCATTGCAAGCTGCAACATCACCACGCGGCCTGCTGCGGGGTATGGCGGATCTTCGGTTGCCTTGTTTGCTGTCCCATTTTTTGTCGAGTACGTTTGATTCAAACAAGGCTTGGGGTTGGGTTGCGGAACACGATTCATTTGAAAAGTCCGGGGAAGCCCAAAGAAAAGGGCGAGCCTCCTGAGGCGGAAGCCAAAAGCTGAGGGTCCACCCAAACAAGATTCTCTAAGAATGGAAGTTTCTTCAGGGTTCCAAAACTTCCGGTTCGGACATTGCCCACCAAAAGGACAGCGATTTCACAATGACAACCGACAGGATTACTCTCTCCCCCTATGAATAAATGCCCAAGTTATTTTTTTTCATTCAGTGTAATTCCAAATTTAAATTGCGCCTTGCACTTTTTAACCGGAAAAGCAACACAACAACTTGAAAGGTTGTATTTAAATTGGTTTCTCGGAAATTGCGATTTTACCGGTTTTCGTGTTGTGGAAAGGGGGGGGCGCCCATTTGGACAAGGACAGAAGAGGAAGTCCGGTCGACCCCCAATTCCCCTCAGTAACAAATATCGTGTGCCCTGTATTAATAGGGAGGGGCGTATTGGCTTTTAGGGGGAAGCGATTATAATGCTTGCCCCCCCCCCCCCAACACGCGCATTGTGTTGGGCTCCACATATATTTTCATGGAGTACCGGGTGGTTGGGGCAAACCTCTTGGCTTCTTCTTTGTTTTTGGGGTTCCAGGTTTGTTGGACAGCAGCACTGGCCTGTCTCATGGACCGGCTTATCAACTCGGAATTTCCAAGCTGAACCGTACGAGTCCTTTGGACGACTTCTGGCAGCATCCCTGCGGAGGTCCATTTGAGCAGTGCCCGAAATCCCTTTTGGCATGTGTAGGTCGTTCTACTTCGTCTCATGGCAGCACGGGCTATATGGGGGGTTCTAAAACCAGCGGCCACCTAAAACCGAAAATTTGATCGCCAGGTGCCTCCGGAGCTGCGCGATGCCATGATCATCAGCATCCAGGGCATCGCCGCGGGCATGCAGAACACCGGCTGAGCGGAGAGGCGTGGTTTGGCTTGCGGTTGGCGGTGGGGCTTTTGGTGGTTGGCGTTTGGTGGGCCGGCCTAATCTTCGCTTAGACGGGGTTGTGATCATCATCAGCTTTTTTCCGGCCAGACTTGCCTTGGGATCAGAGTACCGTTTTCGGGTTGGAAGATTCCGGGCGTGGGCTCGTGGGAAGTGGTGGAGTTGGGTTTCGTGGGTGTGAGGGACCCGTGGCAAGCGCAGGCCAGGCGAGTCACTTGTGAAAATAGTTTCGTCCGCAAATGCAAATCTTCAATCTTTAACTTAATTGTTGTGCGCGATTGATAAAATCTGCATCGCGAAAGACCGGCGATTGGGCCGCGATTGGGGTGACATCTACATGTTTGCTGGAAGATGGGAAGAAGGGAAGAAGTTACCAAGCTTGCTCCGCAATGGCTGGGTTTAGAAGGACACTCATCCCCAAAAAGAAGTTTGCAAACCATCTCTTCGCTTGAGGGGGTAAAGGTTCGAGGCGCCTGGGAAAAGTGCCTCTCTCTTCCTATTTCTGATCGTGTGTGCGTGTCTTGTTGGGCCGAGGAAGCAGTGCTTATGGCGCAGAGCAGTCTTGTTGGGAACGGGGAAAGGTGAGGCCAAGTTTGGTGTTGGATCGGGTTGTTTCGGCCTTTGTCGGGATTCTCATTTTTTAATTCTAGGCAAATTCTGGCGAGCTCACCTGGCCAAATGGGTCCATGATGACTGCTCAAAGGATGCCTTGGTTCCGGTTTGTGAATCATTAATTTGCCCAGGATGGTCTTCCATGGTCCAAAGATTGGGTTTTCGAGATGAGCTCGAATGTGGGGACCCTGTCTTTTTTTGTTCAACCCCAAAGCTGTTTTTGGCTTCCATCTTGCCTTTTGGTCTGTGGGCCCAACAAATAGGTTGGGGCTCGAAGTCCTCGTTTTTTTTTGGCTTGTCTGATGGTCGCTACTTGTTGCAGGTGCGGACTTCTGGATTCGGCCGGCGGATCCCTCGAGCCAGGTTTTGTCGCATTTTTTGGCCCGCGCACCGTGCGCAACTGCGGGTCAGCCGGGCTCCACAAAGCCGAATTTTCATTTTTCCCATCGGATTTCTTATAATTCGCAGCCGGCCCCAGCTCCGGCGCGTCTGTCGGATAATTCACCTCTTTCGTTAGCAAACAGGGCTGGCGCTGCTCATGCAGAAAGGGCAATGCCAGTCCTGGCCGCCACACGACAACATGTTTATCAGAGTTGCCGTGTTGCACGCGCTTTTTTTTCGTAGAGCAGGCTCGCCTGCAAACGGCACTCAGGCTGTCTGCAGCCAAACAGAGCCAGAGACATGCCCCAGTGCGATTTTTACTTTACCAGGGCCGTCCACAGGCCCCCGACGCCGCCATGATTTGCCCGCATGGCGGTGTTCAGACAAGGAAAAGCCGCTCGATTGGAAAAATCAACCGCTGTGCACAGAGCCAAATTGCACCAAGGATGACACGCTACAAGGCTGGACATATCAACGTCAACATGTGCTCTGGGTCGTCTCCAAATTGGGGGACCCGCACAAAGAGTGGTTTTATGTCGTACTTGTGACTCGCAAGTCGCTGCAAGTTGCGGTTGATTCTACCTGCAGCTATGTCAATGGGTTTTCCGAGCTATGTCCCAAACGAAGCTCTACTTGGTTGTAAGTTATGTGTGCTGGAAACCAGCACAACAGGTCAATTATTTCATGGGGGTTTCCCCCCCATTCTTGGGTCTCTGGCCACGAACGTTGCCATTTCCCCCCATGATTCCCTGATCGAGACAGAACTCATGCTTGGATAAAGTCTTGTTGTGAGAAGCGCGTCAGTGGTTTGCACAAAGATCCCAACGACCATCATTCGACTGTGGTCGGGGGAAGACCTCCGGCGCAAAGCGCCCTTGCAATACATTGCAATGCCCAAATGGTTTCCAACCCCCCTCTCTTGCCTCCTACGCCATCCGGTAAAAACAAGGTTACCACGCCTTTGTTTTGATTTGCCGTACACTTTTGTGGGGAAGAACTTAACGCCCTGCTGTATGCAAGGAAGAACACAGGGGGCTCTCTGTCTTTTGTACACAACAGGGCTCATAGGTGTGCCCAAACCGAAAGATCCCGGAGCCTCCTGAAAGGCCCTCCTGGCTTCACGACTTTCCCTTCAGCCGTAGAGTCTCGGCGCCTTGCTCCTTTTCGTCAGTGCTTCAGCGCTCCACCTCCGTGATACCCCAAGCTGAGGCAAGGGCTCGGGTCGCCGTCGCAGCGGGAGCCTTGGGAGTTGATTCTCACCTGCGACAGGGCAAGGACCGTTTCGGAGTCTCTGCTGACCCCTTCATCTGGAGAACTTGCGCACTAGACATGTGGCTGGTTGACGTGGGTGGAACTGGGTTGCAGCTGAAGTGCCCGAAGATCAGATGTTCCAAGGGAGGGTCCCCGAATGTCCTCTTGATATGTTTGAGTATTATCACCTTACGGCTCTTCCTGAAAGGGTGGGGAGAGGTTGAAAGGTGACCTTGGATGTTTGGGGCAGCGGCAGGTTGCTTAATCGAGTCCCTGATCAGGAGCACCTGAACCCGATTGCGCGACACGAGGTTTGCGGTGATTTTCTGTGATACCACGGCAATCTGTGCTGAAGCCAGGAACCCTCGCTTTCAAGCACCATAAGGATGGTCCACTTACCACCAGAATCAGTTGTTTTTTCTTTTTTTAGCCACAATTGTTGTTTGGCCTCAAGTAGCGGGTTCCCCCTCTCCCCCTTCACCCCCTCCCCCCCCCTTGCTGGATGACACGACAGATGCGGGGCTTGTGGGGAGCAGTGCAGTCACAGGATGGACAATACCTGAGGTGCCTGTGGTCTCCTCTAGAAGTCTTTGGTATGGGGTGGACCCCAAGTGAAGGTAAAGAAATGAAGCATGTGCCCTGCTAGAATTGCTGGATTCCGTAAACCCCCGCTTGCTTTTGGTCGAGGGCACCCCATAGAGGGGACTTGGGTCTCAGAACTGTGTCTCAGGCTGATTTCCTGCCCCTCGCGCCGGACCGAGGCGTGGGGGTCGGCGTGGCAAGGTTCGATCCAACTCTGCGTCCATGTGAACCAGGGCTCCTTCAAAGATCTCCATGTTGCAACCGATTGAACCAGGGCTCCTTCAAAGATCTCCATTTTGAAACCATTTGAACCATGGCGGTTTTTTCCGCCAAAAAGAAACCCAGTGTGGCACCACTACTTAGGCAATGTGGAGGTGACTGCATCCGGCTCCCTGAACTGGAGGGGCCTCTCTTCTCCCCGCTGGTTTTGCGAGGTCTCCCCAGTGGTCCGAAGAGCCTCGACCAATAGACGTCGACCATCCGGAAAAGGAGTGGTTCACTGCGCCGCTGGAAAGGGAGCAGGTATCTTCTGGTGGCAAGTAGCCCACGGTGTATCAAAGGGGACAGCTTTGGAATCTTCCATTGGCGGTTTCCCAGAATGGTGGACCCCCCTTTATGTTGGTGTTCAAACGGAACAAAGGAAAGCCCACATTCTTTGGGTCCGAGTTGGAGAACTCCCTTTGATGCATGCTGCGAAGGGGAGCCTCACAGAGCACTAGAGGCGAAGCAGGCTGTCAGATGACTTTGAGGTGGCTTGCACCCAAAACTGCCAAACCACCCAACAAGTTCACATGAAACTGAGGCAACCAGCCCCAAGCCCAAACAAACAGGAAATCCTCAGTTTTGCCAAACCCACTTTTCAATCTTCGCCAGACATTCGCTGCCCCAGTTATGCCAGCATGAAGCGCCTCAAGGAAAACACCATGCGCTTCGGCTGGCTTTCTACGCTTGGGTTCCCTCGTTTTTTTTTTTTTTCTCCACCCAGCAAAACACCTTTTCGGCGGCTGTCCTAAGTCCGGGTCTTCTAAAGTCACCAAGGGTCATTTTGAGAATCTCGCGGAAAGATCAGGGCACAGCAAGGCTGGTCGAGTCTCCTGACTCATTCAGCGTCGGCCTTGAAAACCCAGAAACTCTGGCAATCTGGGAGAGCCTCGCACGAAGCATGGGCCAAGCCGTGTGCGAGTGCGAGCCAGATGAATTTGTGACTGTTTCGTGGTTATACCAGCAACAACGTATGCCTCTCAAAGAGAAACCCTTTTGGATGCACAACGAAATAATTTCGAGTATGTTTCGAGGCACTGACCATATTCAAACTGGTGAAACATGGCACACACGCATTCGTCTGTTGGAGCTGATGGAGATCACCAAAACGGTTTTGTCCCTGGCGCTGGGGGCAAATGTGGCCAGGAAATATACCCTTCCTCCCGCGTAGCCAGCAGTTGTGGGAGAGTACCTGAAAGACTGATTTCCTCAACGAGCCGACTTTTCGGTCAGGTGGCATGCTGGTGAGAAGGAGCGAAAAGCAAATAATGAGAACCAAACTGGCTCCGATTTGTTGATATGGGTGCTCGAACAAGAAGGACAAAGGTGGCACCCTCAAGAACAGACACCCATATTAGTCAACACAGTGATTATTTCATGGGTTTCGGTTTTCCTTTTTTCTTCCCCCCCCCCCCCCGAAAACACGGATTACCCCATGGGTTTCCTTTCCCCCCCTTAAAAAAAAAAAAAAAAATGACGCGCGCGCCAACGGACGCCGGGCACTGGGAGGCGCGCCTCTTCGCCGGCTCGGCAGCTTCCTGTGAGATCGACGAAAAGATGGGTCCGCTGCGGTGCGGCGGCGATCGGTTGGATTTTCCGGTCGGGTGAGAACGACCCCCCGTGGTCGCGGAAGATGCTTGTTGGGGTTTGATGGGGGATTCCAAGGGCCAAAGGCAGGGGTTTGTTTTTCTTCAAGTGTTGCTCGGAAATTGAATCCCCTCTGTTGACACATCTAGGCTTGACATCCCAAAGGAAGCAAAAAGAGAAGAGAAGGGCCCAACGAGTGACTTGCTTCATTCCCTTGCGCAGCTCGCCCGAAGTATTTGGGCGAGTATGGTGTGGGCTGCAAGGCTTCCTTTGGCCTCACGTCTGAGGCCCTCGCGGAGTGGCTGCCGAGCCGCGCCTGGTGGGGCCAAAGGCTCCTGTCGCTGAGGGGCGCCGGGGTGCCCAGGAGAGTTCGGCCGTGTGGCCACGACTCATGGGATTTGGGGATGGGATGTTGGGAGCCCGGAGTTCGTTCTGCAGATGTTCCGTTCCGACCATATGAACTGAAGTTGTGATGGCAGATTCCCCTTCAAAGTGAGTGAGTCATAGGGACGGCCGACTTTACCCGCTACCACAAAGGAAACCACAGGAAACCACTACTTCCAAGAGAACCTGGGTTGCAAAACCGCTACAGAACCAATACAGGCGGTTTGGGGGTGCCCTCTTAGAATTGTGGTCTTAATGAAGGCTTGGAGTAGCCTTCTTGTGACCTCCAATTCCAACATGAGGTGGTGAATGCCTGGGAGGCCAACATGACCCGGACTTGCGCGCTTGCGCGGGCGCCGATTCTCTCATGCAAATTTGTGCACGCGTCATAGGTGTCTTTTTTTTGTTGATTTTGTTGGAAAATCGATGGCCCGGGTTGACCTGCCGTCCATTTTCGTGCAAGGACACCTCTCGCGCTTGTCGTCCGGAGTCCAATTCCAGCCCTGCCGTGCATTTTTTTTTCTCGGAAGAGGTATGGAAGCGAGCCCTCTGCAGCCAGACCTTTGGTTCAAGGTAGGTCTTCGTGATCGGTTTTTCACCCGACTTCCTTTCCGACCCATGATGAAGCTTTGCCTCTTGCTCAGCGCCCTTGCGGCGGATGCTGCCAAGGCGCGGATTCGTGCGACGTAAGGGGAGCAAAGGGTTGGGAAAGATGTGTTAGAACCAGCTGGTCCCCTTCAAAGGGAGCCTGAAGGAGGTTGTGCAAACGCTATAAACAATGATTAGTGGTTTACGCATGTTTAAACAAGGCTAAGTCCTCGTAGGTGGCTCTGCGTGGTTTGCTTATTGCAAGCAAAAATATAGTTGTGCGATGCCTGACCATACCATGCCTGCCACGCAAGCAAGGAGGCGGGATTCGGGGCCGGGGGGGGAGATGGCATGGTATTCCCGTGGACCACACGCTAAGCCCGCGCAAACATACAGCTCTACGTGCCAGGCACGCAGGCATACACTGCTCCTCAGCATGGCAGCGCCCGTATACGTCAGGCACAAGAGTGTCAGTCACCCCCATCGGCACAAGCCGTGCGCGGTATGGTAAGTTGTTCTGAGAGCGGCCCTAGTGATATTATCTGGACTTGAGTTGCTCCACTAGTTGCGAATCATAATGTTCCCATGTTTGTCATTTTCATTTTGGCGCGGGTCAAGATGAACTTTTGTTTGCCAGTAGGAATCTGGTCAGCGTGCTACTTTAAACAGAACTTGCCAATCAAATCAGCAGCAGGTATAAATAATCTAAGAAAAATCTTACTGCGTCCGAACTGATTGCAAGTCGAAAAATCCGCAAACTACCCAGGGCCATGAGTGACGACTCAGGCTTAAACAAGTGGGTGAGGACCGGGAAGCCAGGCTTTGATGCAGGAAGCTTTGAAAGGACTTATTTGTGGCTCAGTGCTTTTCAAGTCGTTGCGGCGCGTGATTCCGGGGGTGGTGACGCCGAGCTGGGAATGCATTTGGAGAGGCGCATGCTTGCCTACGGAAGTCGCGCAAAGCCGCGCTTGATGGGGATGGCCAAGATTCACCACACTTAGAGACATCTGGAACATAGCGGGGTTTCTTAGGAAGCTTTTTGCGAGTGTCCATGGGAATCCTCTTCATTGGAAATTCTCACGGGGCAAACGCATGTGCCAGGTGCGGACAGCCAGGGGTGAGAACCCCTGCCCCAACGGCCTGACCAACAGGCTGGGAGTGGGCTGTTCTCCAGCGCTGGGTGGTGGTTCTGTCGCAGGATTTCGATCGAACGCCGAACTTGTCTCGGGTTTCGACTCATTTCGGTACACATCGCCATTGAGCATGCCCCACACGCAAACACTTTGGTGACTGGAAAGACCGGCCCTTCGACTGGGGCCCATGACCACCAGGGGAGACTTTGATGCTGAAAAAAAAAGGTCCAGACTTTGCGGGGAGGCTCTCCAATTCAAAGCCCCAAACGATCATGGCCGGTTCCTGTGAATCGAGCCATTTGAATGAACATCAGGGGTATTCCTATCTGTGCATGTCCACCACTTGTTTGGGCGCTTGACGAGACACGCCGTCCAATCGAAAGTGGGACATGCCCAGCCGTGCAAGTTTGAGATGTTTGAGATGGTCTTCTGGGTGTTCGCCCTCTGGGCATGGCCCCCCTTTACTTCTGCATTTCACCTTACATGGATCAGCATCAAAGATAATACGCGCAGCCGAGGTGGCACCTGGACGTTTTCCGTGGTTTCCCTTTTTGGACAACCCCAAGGCTAGCCTCCAAAAAGACTTGATGATTTCTCGTGGCATGCCAATGCGGAAGCCCCTTTCGTACTAAAGTCATGTTTCCACAACCCCGGGAACAAGTTGTGAAGCGTCGCCCCTTTGGACTTGGCAGGAGTTTTCTAGGGTAAAGCTGACATTCTGGTTGCCAATAGAAAAGACCTAGTTGTTTTGGTTTCGGGGAAGAGAGTTTCATTCCAAGCTGTCGGACACCCTATTTATCTCTCCGGGTGAGAAAAGGTTGGGCCTATGGGCCGGAATATCAAATGGGTTCCCTATGAGAGGGGTGGCTCCGGTAGCCTGGGTGGAGCAATCTTTCTGATGCAATTCTCTAATAGGGCGCCATTTTTCTATCGAAGTTTGCTTAGGCTCATGTTCTTTATTTTCACAGTGACCGCTTGTTTTATGTCTACTCTATTTTGCTAGGAACAGCTGTTTGATAGGTTCTTCCACTTGTTGTGTGTGTGTGTGTGTGTGTGTGTGCGCGCGTGTGTGTGTGTGTGTGTGTGTGTGTGTGTGTGTGTGTGTGTGTGTGTGTGTGTGTGTGTGTGTGTTTGTGTATGTGTGTGCGTGTGTGTGTGTGTGTGCGCAGTTTTGTTTTTGTGCGTCTATGTGCACGTCTTTGTGCTGAACGGGACAAGATGATCTCCCACTGTGACTGACATGTTTATTTGCTTCCGGGGGGTGGTCTCAAACTTATTGTTTTTGGGTGTGAAGGAGTCAAGTTTCCCACCATTTCAAGCTCCAACTCATTTCAAGAGAACTTTCTACCGTCGCTTGATTTCTTCGCGGAAATTCAGAAGCTTCCGGAGCAGCATTTCGCAGGTTTCCCGACTCCTTGCCCAAGGAAATCGTGATGGCCGCCTGGCGGCAACTGCCGGGCTGTGTGGCTTTTCAGGGTGCTGGTTCTTGATAAGGCAGGGAATGAAAAACGAACCACGAGAAAACTCTCCAAGCGATTTGGTTTCCTGTAAGGGAGGCTTTTTCCGATTCATTCCCCAAACGAAGGGTCATTCCTTACCCACACCAGCAAGTTGCGGGACACAGGCGGCCGTCGAAAGGCTGGACTTGTACAAAGCATTAGGATTGGGCGGTTAGATTCTCATCCCTAGAGTCCATTGTACATTTTGATGGCTTGCACAAAACCTTTCTTGGACTATGACGACTTTTGATTGGAACGGGGGGCTTCTGCACTTCCATGGTGCGGTGAGGGTCCTTTCCCCAACAGGCGGAGTTTAACCTCTGCTTTGGGGGCTTGGCGAACATGAGCCCACAGGCAAACCTTCCAGTTGGGCCATTTTGCGGTCCGTTCGCCAAATCCCGGGTGTTGAAACTCACTCGTTCTTTTTTTTTGGGTGGGGTCGGGTGGTTGCGGAGCCCACTTTCCTGGTTGCCAGGCTCAGAGCAGCTCGGCGTTGGATTTTCGTGTCGCCATTTTAAGGCGCCAGACAACGGGAGGAGTGGGTGGCCCTGAAACACATGCTGTTGGTTGGTTGGCTGGCTGGCTGTTTGGTTGGTTGGTCGGTTTGTTTTTGTTTGTTCGTTGGCGCCTTTTTTTTTCCTTTCTCAAGCCGCCCCTTCACATCCGTGGGCTTTGCCATCCTGTTCGCCGGTCGTTTTTTTGTTTTCCCCCGAACCTCCCGAGGTGGACGACGAGAACGGGGGCACCGCCATGAACCCCATGGACTCCGTCTTCGACCTCGAGAAGCTCCGGGCGGCGCTGCGCCCTGGCCGCGGTCGGTCGAACGTCGAAACGAGCGGCCCGAGCGTCGCGGCTCCCGCCGCACCGCGCGGGGGGGGGGGGGTTTCCGGCGCTGGCGGCTGTTTGGCTGGATCTTTCATCTGCTGAATAGCCATTTCCTCAAGGAGCTGAGGAGGGATGAAAGATTTTGAGTAGGTGAAGGCCAATGAATTGGTTGGGCCTTTTTTTTCCTTCGCAGTATTTTCTTTTTCAACCTGTGTGATTCAACGTGAGTGCTTTCCCACCCATCACGAAGCCAGTTCTAGAGGGGCCTTGCGTCGTCTCCAAATTTCAGTGAAGACGAAGGGACAAATAAGAAGGCTTGTAGAAAGGAATAAGAAGGCTGATAGAAAGGAATAAGAAGATGCTTAGACCAAGTTTTTGTTTTGAGCCCAAGCCTAGAACCTAGACCCCCAGCCCCAGAGCCCCAGATCCGCAGTTTTTGTTCTGCGGTGTGTTCGAACAGGCCGCATTCACAGACTGGCAGTGGGACATTTGGGTTGGGAACGGCCCGGGGAGTGGGCCCATGTTGTCTCCGTGTCGTCTAGTCGCTTTCTCCCTACTTCGTTGGAGTCTGGCGTGGGTCCCTGGAAGATCAACAAGGCAAGCCTTTAGTGCCAGGTCGGAAGCCAAGTTGGGAAAACACGGTCTCAATGACCAAGCCCTTCTTTTCAAAGGGAACACAACAGATGTTCTGTTCTATCATGTTCTATCAATAGCTGCTTCAACGTGTGTTCAAACAAGGTGTTGGCCCAAGTCCGCCAGGTCAGAGGACAGCGAGTGGAAGATCGGCATGCCCTGGCTGCTGAAGGCGACCTTCTCCTCTGACAGCAAGGCTCGGCGGTTTTTGGTGCCGACTCGTAGATCGTTTCTACGTTTGCATCATCCTCATAGACAACATATGGATTGTTCAAAACCCGCATTCGCTGTAAGTTGAAAGGCATGTATCAATAAGCAAGTTGTGTATGATTCAAGCCGATCGCTTCCAGTCACATCAGCACTTCAGTCGTTTGTGTGAAGGCAGATATTGACGAAGAATGCTCCGGGCCCTGTCTTGCGCAGAGAAATTGCGGGCGTGCTTCCTGTTACCCTCTTGCCCACAAACACGCAGTCGTTCGGGAGGGTTTCTCCCTGCTTCGCGGCTTTCTGCGGGATCTCTCTCGCTCTCTCCCCTCCCCCTCCCCCTCCCCCTCCCCCTCCTACCACAAACCAACCAGCAAACAGGAAGATGGAATGTCGCTCAGTCTCCTTGTAAATTGCGATGTGTTCTTTCCAAAACGGTTCCTCCAAATTCAGGGGGCCTTTCCTTCCCAAAACGAGAACAAGGCACGGAAGTCTTTCAAAGCCCTCTTGTGCACTTCCGTGAGCGCGCATTTTTTGGCCTTGCTGTTTGAACACCCTGCTCCCAGAGACAATGGCTTAAGGGACTTTGTCAGTATCCCGAAACCCTGTCTTTTTGTTCTGCCGGTGCTGGTGGCGTTTGCCGTTGCTTGTCTCGGCTCAGCGGCTCCAAAGCAGCCGTGAACCAAAAAGAGCGGGGGACTGCGGGAAGCGCCAGGTGGATCGTACCTTCGGCTTCGCCTCGGGCGGCAGCGAAGGACAGATGTGTCCGTCATGGCCATGAGAGGATCAAATGGGTGCTCTTTTTTTTTTTTGGGGGTGGGGGGACCCCTTTGGGTTCGTTTTTCTTGGCTTTCGGGACATCAGAAGGACACCCCGACCTTTTGTTTAAATAGCAGCCGTAGTTTGAGACAGACCCACATTTCGGGTTTCCGGAGCACCCCGCATCGGCATCCGCGGGTTTCCGCGGGCAGCCCACTCCTGATATGTGTGTGTCTTTTTGGACAAAGGGGGGCTGCTTTGTTGGAAAGCCAACGAAAGACGTCTTGGGTTGGCGATTTTGAGACAAGCCCACATCATTCTTGCTGAATTTCTACTCTTTTAACATTGGATCCAGCGACTGCTCTGTTCTAGCCGGCCCGGGAAGCGCGTTTCCCTGCCCATTTACGTCACCTACGCGCAAGCGTGTCACTCTTTGGTTCTGAAGCCGGCGAAGCCTGGTGATTGTTCAGTCTTATCAGATGTTGGTTGCCCCCTGTTTTAGCTCAATTTACCCAGGTCCATTGCCTTTCGTTTTTGGTTTTCCCACGTTCCACGTCGGGTAGCCGCATATTTGGAGCCTGGTTCATGTTTATCCAATCACAGCGGTGGCTTGATGTTTTGGGGTGGAAACCTTCTTGGAAAAAATGTGGGTGTCCTTTTTTCAGGGTACCCTTTTGGGTTGGGTATAAAGGGAACCAACCCAACAGGAAACCTATTGTTTTTGGGGTCCTCCGATTTTCACACACACACACACCTAGGTGGCTATGAATTTCAAGAGGGACACCCCTTGGTGGACCCCTCTAAAGCTTGGTGCAAGCCGCTCATCCGAAAGGAGATTCTTCTACACATGGTCATGGTTCTGGGAAATGAAGCTGGCAAATTCTTTGATAAGAGAATCCTCTCCAAAGCAGCTCTAAGTTTAGTCCACTTTGTTTTTTTGTTTTGGTTTTCCAGAGAAACCGCCTATTTGCACCATGCGCATATGTGTCACAGAACCCCAAGCTCCCAAAGCAGTTTTTTCCATGTGCGTTCCGTGGTGGTTTCTCCGGCGGGTTTCTCACCGCAAAACGCACCCGAAGCCGTCCCGAAGGATTCTTGACGGTCACGGTGCCGGCGGGGGTGCAGGAGCAGGACATTACCGCCGGGACCTTGGACGCCGCCCTTCGAAGGGCGGCGTAGCTGTGGACCCTAGCAAGATTTTGGGGCGGATATTTTCCGGGATCTCCCATATTTGTTTGGACCCCGTAAGGATTCCATCTTTTCGTATGTGTCAAACATGTTGGATCCCCAAAATGGTTGGCTCCTTGTTTCCCTTACACAGCCAAGGTCAAAAAGGGCGCTTGGTGGTTGTGACATGAGCAACTGGCAAATGTTCTTGCAGTCTCGTGTTAGTTTGGGGAGGACATGGGGGACCACCCAAATTAAACCAGAGGGTTACAGTTACAGTCATCTACAGTAGAAAACGGGGATGGGGCGAATCCGCTTACCAAAATACAATTAGGACACACGGGTTGCCCGGCCTCATAGGGATGGGAATCTTTGTGTGTTCCCTCGGCAGCACCACAATTTTTGGATCAGTCAGGACTAGACTTCCCACGTGTTCTTCTGGAAAGAACAACAGATGCCACTGGCAAATGATCAAAACTGATTCCTGGAAGCTCGATCTCCTCTTGAGGGACCCCCAGCCAGGTGTCAGGATGTAAACCGGAGGGAAGGTACCTGAGCCACTGAGCAATCACATTCCTCGTTAAATGGGTGTCGTTTTTTGAGGGCACACTTCTTGCGGTGGGCTACAAGGGAATCCGAAACCACCCCTATTTTGACGCAGACCCGAATGAGCAACTGACAATACGATTGGTAGTCTATGGCTTGTGTTGAGAAGGTGACATGAAGTCTGTGTCATTGCGAGGGGTCGATTCCTAGTTTTGAGGTCACAGTCCATACGGGTTTGTCTTTGACCCTTTCACACAATATTATGTATACACATATATATATATATATATGGAGCTACATGTGGTATTGTGCCATTCACTTTCGCCCTGGTACAGTATGATCATATGCACATGACGAAATCCGGTTTCGATTTTCACCTACCTACCAAGCCGGGTATTGGAAGCGTTCGGTTTGGACGATGTCTCTCTCAGGTGACGGGCCCCGTGGGGATCAGCGGGGCGGACGCGGAGTTCCAGTACAAGCGCCCCGCAGGATGGACCTCTGGCAAGATGCTTGGGCCGCATTGGAGTGCCATTGGCTCTCAGGCGCACGGGAAGGCTGCAGTTCACTTAAAACAGTTTTGGGGGCTGTTGATGTTGTCACTTGCAAGTTTGGTTTGGCTCAGACAGACAGCTTCTTCGTTGCCTGGCTCTTGCGGCTTTTTCGATCGCCCAGGATCGTCATGAGCAACATCTGCTTGGCTCCGAGGCACAAAACCTTTGGGCTCCGCACCAGGGGAACCGGGAGCCCAGATTTGCACTTAATGTTAACCCAGGATTAATGTTGACCGGTCCCATTCCTAGGGTGTTCCCTCCAAAAGTGGTCTGAATCCAACCACTAAAAGGGGACACTCCCCTATTAATCAACCGAGGGTTTATTAATCCTGGGTTAACATTATTTAGCTTCAGGAAGCCCGTGTTTCCATTTTTTCGGGGTGGAAGTGCAACCTACATCGTTTTTGTTGCCTCCCATGGCGCTTGTTTCTTCGGGCAACTGCCCACAGGGTTGGAGCCGAAACTTCGGCGAACCGAGCTCAGTTGATTTCCATGACCCAGCCTCTCAAGTTGCATGCTTGCACGCATACCACATGGCTAATTATTTTTCAAGAGACGGAATCCCCCTTTTTGGGTCTTCAGGGGAAAACGAGAGAGCGGCAGTTGACCCTGTCGTCCTGCTTCAATTCATGTTAGTCTTCTGGTTCCCTGGATGACCATCAACAAGTTGGCGCCGCTTTCCCAAATGAGGGATTCATCAACCACGGTTCCTCCCGACATGTCACTCACCACAAGCCCACAAGCCCGCAAGTGAAACCCAGTGCTCTCTGATCCCCAGTCTTCCCTGTCCCAGTGAGGCGGGTCACCGCTGTCGCCACCGTTGTGAATAACCTAGGGAAGCCAATCACTTGAACCCAACCGGATTCAGTTAGCCGCGATACATTTTTATACATATATATATATATATACACACACATTTGAGTATGTCTCTTGAGCTCAGCCAACCAAGGGCAAGCCCTTCTTGCGATCAATGGGTTATTGGGCCAGCGACCCTTGAATTCTCAGAGGCTGGACATGTTGACACCGGCCAAAAACAAGCAGGGAGCCAACCTAGAGGCACTCGTTTGGGATACTGTAAGAACGACTTGGTTCAGCCTTCCCCTTTTGCTTCCACGGAACCTCTTTGCGAAGGTGTGGATCGAAAGCAATGCATGTCCCGATTTTTCCCCTCACTTTTTTTTCCATCAAAAAGCTTGCAGGGTTTTACTTCTGGGCCGAAGCACTGGGCATGGTGCATGGACGGCCCGGGATGGTTGTGAAGGCTTCGAGGCCCGGAACCGTTCAACGGAATGGCTGGATGATATAAACCGAGTTGCGTGTTGGTCGAGAGGGATATTGGGTGCCAGAGAAAGTGGCTAGAAGATCGCTTTAAATCAGTGTCACCCGGGCCCGACCCTGCAGAAACAGCTTTTTGTTGAAGCTGGAAGACACCTCAAAAACACACGCAACAGCGCAAAAACAGCCAACAACAATCGAGATCAACGCCAAGCACGGTAGGTCCTGCGACAACTTCGAGTGCCCACAGCCTGGCCGCGCGGCGAGAACCGAGTTTTTCTTCTTGTTGTTTTTTTCTTCCTTTTTTTTTCCGCTTGGGTTTCACCCTTTGCTTAAAGGGACTGACTGACTGACTGACGCCAAGTGGCGGTTGGGCTTCTTTTTCCAAAAGCCAATTCTGAAACGGCGGCTTTTTTTGGGAATGGCATGAGCTGGGCTTGGGTGATGGAAGCGCGCTCCTGAACCCATGGGGACTTCGGGCTGCGTTCCGATCGGCTGGGATGCCCTCCCGAGGCTCCGAAAGAGGCAACCTGAAGTCTGTGAGCGGCGAATTTTCAGCCGAGCGAACCTCAACTCGGCAAAGGTCGTCGCACATTCGATTTCTCCGGGCCTGAAAACGGCAGCACCTATTGATTCATCTCTTCTCCGATAGGCCCTCATGGTCGGGTTTTACCAAAACACCCCCTTTTGCTTGGAGAATTCAAGGTGGTTTCTGAAAGTGATTGATGGGTTCTACCCACAACCCCTTTTTATGCTTGGAGGTTTCGCTAAATCGAGCTTTCTGGTGGCGCTTCCCCCAGGTCACCTTTTGGGGCGAAACGAGCTTAGGCATGAAGAAGAAGGGCGATGGGCTCTTCGGCTTCTCCACGGCGCGGTGCTGCGAGATGAGGAGACGTGGCTTTCGGACGTCCAAAACGAATTCGAGCCTGCTCTTCTCGATTTGTAGGAGAGCAGCAGGAAAACCGCCGTATAAGCGCTCCATAGTTCTCGCCGTGTCGACCTGGATCAGAATGGCATGTGGAGCCATCCCCAAGCGCTCCTGATCCCGGCTCTTGGCAATGGAGCCCGGCGCGGCGCGATCGGCCAAAGCAAAGGCAGACGCTTGTTGGGATTTGGACCTCGTATTTGGAGATTTAGATTTGAGAAATGCGTGTTTCGCACGGACCATCAAACAGTTACACGTGTTCCCCAAGAATAGCGGGTGCCTCGTTTCGGGGCAATTTCCGCCTTGCAGGATGTGCACAGAGGCGGAGGGCGTTTGCCTGCCGGAGACCATGTACACCAAGGCACTGCTGTTAGCTGACGGCTCGGGGGGGTGGCTGAGTGGGACGAGCAAATGAGCAGAAGGGCGATAGATGTTGTGCCAACCAGAAATGAACGAGCGAACTCGGCAACGGAGGTTTCCAAGCACCAGGTACGGGCCGAAATTGGGCAAAGAGGCCCTCGCCTTTTTGCTTAATGTATCCTTGCAACCAGGGGAAAAAGCTGAGGGCCCTCGATCCGTGGGAGAGACACACAGAATGCCTTGCCTTTTTTCTGCATCCAGCAAATGAGTCATTTGATCGTTTTTGCTGACCCCGGCTGGAGAGTTGTAAAGGGGTGCTTCATTTTGGGCGTGCAAGATGCTTCTCTTCCGGGAGCAATGCGATGTTCGTGGGATTGCCAAAAAGCAACGCCAGATGTGGTCTACGGCATTTGGGAGAGATGGGACAAGGAAACCGTTTGCGTCCTTTGCAGACTTGGTTTCATGGAAAGGAAGTGTCATGGATCAATGCCACCCGGGCAGCAACCAGCAGGAGGCAAGTTGTGCCCCGAGAAAGCGCAGGCACACACAGGGGCATCAAGCATGAGGGAGGTTGTTTGGGCTGAGCACTAGAACGAGACAGAAGTTGCGAACCAGCCACGTGTTGGTACGGTTCATTCGGTGAGATAAGTGCAAACAGACACTACCCCAGCCCGGCACTGCAGCTGTGGTGTGATTGTTTGGCGTCAACAGGGATGGTCAAGGTCCACAAACTAGGAATTCAGCTGCGAGTGTGGAGATGCCGCTTACAGGCGCTATGCCCATCCATATCTCGCGCTTTTTTGAGTGGCATTTTCTCTTGTCCAGCAACTCATATTTGTCAGCTTTCCCCAGTGCGGAACCGCAGGTGAACATAGGTGTCTTGTTGAGGCTAGTTTAGTGTTATTCCATGTACCAGACCCATCTCTTGTCCAAATGTCGCTTAGGCCGCTTAGGCAGGTGAATTTGTTTTGCAGATGACACCTCGAGAACAACTACCCAAACTAGGGACCTTTTTAGTAAACCCAGCAGATCGATGGTGTGTCTCTCCCCCAAAAGTGAGAACTGTCCCCTCCTTAAAGGGAAGGCCCTTTGAATCCACCAGCGGTGAACCAGTTTGTGAGGGCGCCCTTTCCACTTTGATTTCAATGAAAATTCAAAGGAACCCCAGTAATTGCACCCGAGTCTTCCAAGTTCTGGGAGCTTCCCTGGAAGAGGATACATGTTGGCAAATGTTGAATAGTCGTGGACCCGTATGCGGCAAACTCCGCATGGCTCAGGCTGCCAACTTCTCCGAGAAGAAGGGCTACGACAACTCCACCTGCTGCTCACCAAAGCACCTTGGAAGAGGTTGACAGAGGTCCTCTACGAGGTTTCCAGGGGTTGTCCTGTGGGTTGGTCTCGCAACGGTGTCCGGTAGGTCTCCTCCTTTTCGTTGAACCCTTTTGAAACGTGCCCCAGCCTCAAAAGAGCCGAGCCAGCCATGTACCCTGGCCAAAAAATCATCCTACTTGGGGTAGGGTTCATCGACCCCTTTGCAGGAAGTTAGACAATGATAAGGAATCTTAGTGACGGAATTTCACTCCTAGAATCATGACTAAAAGTGGTTTTGCAGTAATCCACAGCCCCATTAGTTGAGTTCCATGTGGGTCCCTACTTTTGACAAACTCATTTGGCTCAAGACCAGTGAGCTAGGGATACCTCTGTTTAAACCTCAGGCAAATGGGGGACGCCGAAACAGACCGAAACATGGTCTCCTGAAGATGCGCATCAACATTGTGAGAGTTCTTTCAGGAGTCCCATGATATTTGGCCATGCCTTGCTCGGTGAGTGGGGATTTGTCAACGTCTCTGGCGCTTTCTGCGGAGGTCCACATCCCGATGCCGTGCAGTTGCAGATATGGGCCATGGGTGTGTCGCTTTTCTTTTGGGGGAACCCCCCCACCATGGTGTTCCTCTTAGTTTCCCTTTGAAACCCCAACAAAAAATGGCACCTTTCAAACTGGCACACCCATATTCACCCAAGGCTCCCGCGGCTTGTCCATCCGCACCCAAGGTACTGCCCCACGGACCTTTGCACCAACGACACCAAGTGGGTCAGCAAAGGTGCGGAGTCTACCGGGGTAGCGCAAGATCTGTTGAACAACCCTCCTGTCCACGTGCACCCAGAGCTCTGGCCCCTCATACAAAACCTGGTCCAGGACCCGCCAGTTGGGTTCCATGTGAATGGGAGGGCAAGCCCTGATCTTCAATAGTGGCCCAGGTGTGTTTTGCACAACCAGTTGGCCCAGATTTGCGTACAACCCGATTTGGCGCGAGGGGGATAGCGGCCGAAAGCACCGTTTGCTTGCCTGTTGCTCAATACCTGCACCATTTGACAGGATCCAACCCCATAGGATTCGTTCAGGGTTGTGTAGGGTTGATTTAGGGTTGGTTTACGGTTAGGTGAGGTTGGTTTAGGCGGGTTTGGGTCTCTCGCGGGGCTTGCGGGGGGCCTGCCATTTGGGCACAAGGGACGAGGATACTATGGGAAGGGGTGCGCCTGTGGACCATATGTATACATAAAGTATATAATTTCACGTGTATATATATATATATATACATATACACGTACACGTGTATGCATATATATATATATATGCATTCATATATGAGTTTACGGATAATATTTCTGCTTTTTTTTTTCCCTGTCCAACCGGTTTTCCTTTTATACAAGTCCGCAGTTTGTTTGTCGCTTTGCAGGCGATGTGGTCTTGGGCAGCACCAAGGCGGAGTGCTGCGAGCGCCTGGAGTGCGCCACCTACACCTGCTCCAACCAGGCGCCAGGGGGGCTTGACCCATTTTTTTGAAACCAAAGGATTAAGGCGTTGGGCGGGGGGAAAAGCGGTTCGTGCTTTGAAGGAAAAGGAGGCGGTTGGAACAAGAGGGGTTGCTAAGCACATATATATATATATATATACATATATAGATATAAATGAATAAAGGGAGGGGCTAGGGCTGTCCTTATGAAGGGACAAGCTTGTTTGGAAAACGACTGGGCGATGTAGGATGAATATAATTTCTCTCTTGGATGCTAGCCCCAAGAAAGAAGTCAGAGCAAGTTCAAGGGCAAGCTGTTTGCGTGATCGGTTTGACCATTGGCCTGGCGGTTTCCTGACCATTGACCTCGAAAGGTGGCACTGGCTGGTGGCAGGGGATGGATCATTCCCTTTGTTTCTCTCTGTCCAATCATGGAAGTGGACGATCGGGGGCTTCCCCAAAAGGTCCCAACGCCTCCTATGAGCTTCCAGTGTTGGATGGAGCCTAAATGGCTAAGTGGAGGGATGAAAGAAAACGGTGGAGGCACCACATAAGATTCAAAGGAGATTCCCTGTGCTTTGCGTTCAAGCACCACCTTCCAAATCACCCCCCAACTGAGTCGAAGCCAATGCTGGGCATAAAGGAGTGTTTTTTTTCCTCCGGGTACCCTTTTCGGCCCGAACTTTAGACCCTTGCCAGCTCTGCGGTTGAACTCGCTGTGCTGAGATTTTTGTACCGTGTGGTTTGGAGAGAAAGCTACTCAATGCCAACAAGGGGTCTCCCCCCATTTGAGTCACAATCAAAGCCTGGATAGATGAAGGTTATAGTAAAGGATGATCCCAGCCATCAATGGGCATGGGTGCAGCCGCCTTTTTTAATTCTTTGCATGGTTTTGGGTAGGCCTTTCTAGTACCGATCGGTTTTGATTATGAGTCATTTGGAGACGCATATCGCCACCTCCGGCAAGGTGCTCATGACCAAGAGCTCGAACTACCTCGAGGAGGGGAGACGTCGGGAGAAGGGGCGAGGAGCGTCCCAAAGCTTGAATAATGGAAAAGAAACGGCAGATTTATTCAGCCCCGAAACCCAGGTATTGTCATTTCTTTGGTCAGCTGGAAGTACTTCTGTCTGATAGCATTCAAGCAGGTTTCGCCGATACGATTGTTTGAGCCGCCAAGCGTGCGAAATCGGTTTCTTCAATCCAGGCTTGGCAACGAGCTGGGCCTGGGTTGGCCAGCCGTGTGGAAGGATGGGTGCGGGTACATCAGAACGGCCGGCCTTGTGTGGCAACTTCCCGTGAAGCAGGTCGGTGGATGTCTTTGAAGCCGATGGGAAGACGGTTTCTTGGTTTCCAAAAGGACTTATACTTGCCGGCCTCGGCCAACGCCGACGTTTCCAAAGCTGGGCAGGGATCGGCCGACACCTAGCGAGCGTTTGTGCCTTGGGAGGACGGCACCCCGCGCTTTGGCAGCACCGACGAGGAGTGCTGCGCTGCTCGGCCAGGGAGTGTCATTTTAGCCAAGTGGGGAACCATAGGAGCAACGACGATACTTGCTCATTAAAAGGAATGACCGGGACTCCAAGTTGCCTGTAGGAAATAGGGTGGGGTTGCGCACCAAACTTTTCATGTCAGTTGGACACATTGAATATCTCATGTAATGGGTTTGTCTCAAAATTAGTCGCACTTCAGATTTTGCCGAGTTCAACTACTTCTGAGACATCTTGTCCGATTGTTCGGCCAAGGATGCCCCGTTTGCTTTTCTTGGGAGTGGTTCTTTGGCACCAACCCCAAAGGATGTGACTCTTTCCTTGGTTTTTTGCCTTACAGCCAACTCGGTCCCTCGCCCCATCCGACCCTCCCCACCGGCTTTTCTACTTGCCCAGGCTGGCAAGTACTGCAAGGGCTTCGACTGCCAGCCCAGCAAGGAGAGCGCGCTTGACCCGGCCCAGGTCGCGCTTTACGAGCTAGCGGCCTTGAAAAAGGGAGCTGGCTGTGGCTCAAAATTCAAGAGCTAGGGTTATGCGGTTTTAGTCTTTGGTTCCATTTACCAAGTGCCATTTTGGTAGATGTTTTTGAGCCACAACCAGCTGTTTTGCTCAACGGAAGTTTCAAAGAACCTTTGCCTGGGATGCCCCAAGCCCAGCTTGCTTTGCGTGGCAGCGGGCTATGAAGCTGTGCATGTTTCGCGGTTTCCCCCTGTTGCAGGCATCCCAATTTGGCTTGTCTTGGAGTTTTAATGAATTGGCCTTGCATCGTTGACATGCACGTGAGAACGCCCCAAAACCAAGCTCCAACCCATCCGACCGGAGGGAGTTGACCCAACTCCTTTGGGAGCCACAGCCCAAGCAAACAGCTCAGCCGGGGAGGGGCTTGGCCTGGTTGCTTTTGTTGGGGGATGATACTGTGGATGGACGAAATCCTGCACCACCTAAGAAACCCTGGAATGATGATTCCCCTGAGAATACCAACGAACAGGGGTTTCCCATGGTTTCCAGGTGGTGTGAAATGGATTTCGTCCATCCACAGTATAACTTTCATGACGTGCAAATCGCCACCTGATCCAAACCAGCACTTGAGGGCCTGGGTCGCGGCCCAGGACTATGGCTTGAAACCAGATGCTGCCAACATCATGGGCGACAGCCGCGACGAGTGCTGCGACGTGCCGAAGCGGCAGGTTGGCAGGTTCACCATGGCACCCTTACACCGTTTTTGTGGCTTTTTCCTTCTTTTGTTTTTTCGGGGGGAGGGGGGGCTTATGGCTAAACCTACTCTTTCTTTTTCTTGGGGGTGGCTTAAGAATCGCAGGATTTGGCTAAAACATCCAGTTGCCCCACCTCTTTGAGGGTGTCTACCCACCAATGTCATTTGTTGGAGGGACCAGTGGGACGCTTTGTATTTCTTCTTTCGAGGGAAAGGAAAGCTCCAATAGGCTTCTTAGAAGGCTACTTAGCACCATTCCGGTGGCTGGGTGGGGGGCCTAGAGTGAGCAACAGTCAGGTAGCATGGATTTCAATTGTGACCCACCCATGTCGCATTTCCTGGCTGAGACATCTCCAAATATGTGCTACCTGTGCCCATTGGTTAGGTATACTAACTGATTGTTACTCACTATATTGGCATCCGAAGAAGCAACCACGTGTGGCCGAGGTGAAGAAGTGTGACACCTTCGAGTGCCCCAACAACACCAAGTGGGAGCCCAACCCCGCGGCGGTGGTAGGCGGGGCAGGGGCTTCATTTTTGGGCGAAGGGGACTTGGGGATGAGCTTGATTTCGAGCCCCAAAGATCGACTCGGCAACCGCATCTTTGCTGGGCCAAAAGAATTGACTGCGGGAGGGTGCCGAAGGGAGGCGGAGTTTGCCTGAACGGGGGGGGGGCACACATTGACTGGGGAGACGTGAACTCGAGCCGCAGAGTTGCAGCTTTCCTTTCGGTGAAGTATCTTTCTGTGCTTTCTGACGGTGTTGGTTTCCCGGATGTGTTCTTACCTCTTAAAAGCACAACTTTTCAACATTTTGGGTAACATGGGCTATATGTCTGTAAAAGGTTAACTTCCCCTAGCTTCCAGCATGCTTGCAAGGGTAGCAGGAGGCAGAGCTTGCAGTCAACACCGCACTCAGGCTGCCACAAAAAGGGCCTATGGAGATGGTCATTCTTCCATTTCATGTGTCGGCTTATAGTCAGAAGAATGCCCACCAGCTTACATAGAGTGCTCCCGAACTTCGAACCATTTGATACAGACCTGTTGGGGCGGAAGGGGGGTCATCGGTGCACGCGTCCAAGTGGTCATTTGTACACGTGTCATGTTCATAATTCATGGTAATTACCGCAAATCGACCTGGTCATCCGTGCACGCGCTAACAAAAAAAGGTTGTTTTGCTTAGGTTTTTCCACATCAGAAGCCGGAAGTGTGTTCGAGTTGGATTGAAGTTAGTAAGGTTCGCAGTCTGACCGCTCTCTGTACAAACATCGCGTGATTCCAGCAATGATTCAGACAAATTAGTCGAATGACCTTGACTATCTTTTCGGGCACCGCATGATTCCACAAGTGAATTAGATCATACTCTTGGACTGACTTCAGGCCAGGTCTCTTCCGTCAATTCACGTTGCGTTAGCCAGGGCTGTTTCGATGACGATACGGTTCGGTACTGCAAGCTTTGTGACGCCACCGACACTTACCATCCACCCACCCGCGTGAGTTAGTGCGCATGAACGTCGAAGCTTACCACCCCCCCCCCATTCCCCCCCACCTGCGTCCCACAGACGCTTACCATTCACTCACCCACGTGAGTTGGTTCGCGTGAACATCGAAGCTTACCACCCCCCCCCCACGTCCCACCGACGCTAACCATCCACCCACCCGCGTGAGTTGGTTCGCGTGAACATCGAAGCTTACCACCCCCGCGTCCCACCGACGCTCACTAGTCACCCACCGTTCGCGTGCGCGTCGAAGCTTACCACCCCCCCCCCCCCATCCCCCCCCACCCGCATCCCACCGACGCTTACCATCCACTCACCCTAATGTTGGTTCGCGACTGAGTGATATGGCCACGGGTCAAAACCCCGTACCCCCAGTGAACATCCCAATCCCCAGTAAAATAGACTAAAATGGGTGGTGCACGTAGCCCAAAATGGTACCATTGGTTTTGACCCACAGCCATATTGGCGGTCCGCTACGAACCTCTGCGCAAGATTGTCAGCTTGCGGCGAGCGGGCCAGCGGACGGTCTGACTGCAAGCTCTGAGGCAGCACCATTGAGCAGTGCTGCAGCAAGATCATGTGCAGCTCATACACCTGCAGCAAGGAGAGATTACTGGGTGGCAAATATGGGTTGAAGCAACCAGCTGCCACATGTTGCCACGGTTGTCAGGAGGCTTGGAACACATTCGCAGACACCACCAGACCAACCAGACTGCGGACGCTAGGGCAATACCTCATTGCGGATCCTTGAAAAAGCAACGCGAATATAACTAATGTATATATATATATATATATATATAAATGTATATATCCCTATGCTTCCAAAGCCTATTAAAAAAATAGTCGTTGTGACAACCCCGGTTTTTAAAAATAAAGACTATTTTTTGATGACGAGCGGCAGCCTCCGTTTTGGACTGCAACGGGACTAGGAAAGACTTGACGCTAAGGCCGCCTCATAGGATCCCAAAGCCGAACAGGTATTTTCATATGCAGCAATATGTGTTACAATCTTCAAGGCTAATGTTGGCTTCTCTGTTGCTTGGTTTCTGAACATGGCCATGTAGCGCGTGAGGGTGAATCCTCTTCTGACCGTTTCTGTCCTTCTTTTGCCCCACCTTCTTAGCCAAACCAAACAAAACGGGACAGCAAAAATATTTACCCTTTACAGCAACCATTCCAGGGTGAGAATGTTGATCTTCTGGGTCCCCTGCAAAATTTGCCCGTTCTACGCCAACAAATAGTGGTTCTACGCCAAAAAATAGTGGTTCTACGCCAAAAAATAGTGGTTCTACGCTAAACAATGGTGTTTCTACGGTTTTTCTACGCTTTGTCTACGGTTTGTCTACGCTCACATCGTTTTTGGAGCTGTGTGAAGATTGGAGCGGAAAAAAACAAGCACACAATTGCTTGTTGTTCGTGCCACCTGCGCAAATTGCAGAGGACAATTCTAGAATTTGCTAGAATGAAGGCTCCGTCTACGCAAGACTTTCAGCAGGTGCATTGTGCAAACACGAAAGGGCGCCGAGGACCCTATCAATAAATAGTAATCTACTGGCTCCCAAGGCTTCTTAGGAGGTTGCAATAGCAGGCGTAATTTCAATACAAACAAAGTAACAACCCAAAATGGACCCCAAAGGCCAATGTCAAAAAATAGGGGTTGTCAATGCAAAAAATAGGGGTTGAACAACCCCTATTTAAAAAATAGTCGAGGAAGCATAGGGTATTATACATACACATATATGGGGCTAGCCAATTTCCTAGCAACCGCTTCATAACCTTTATGTTTGGAGTTCTCTTCGAGAGGGGGTTCGGCCTCTTCCAGGAGGTTTGGGCTAGACTGTAGAAGGCTTCTTGAAGGTGCCAACAGGCACAAAGGCACGGTTTGCTGCTGAAAATGATCGGCAGCAAGAATCAACCCAGCTTTGGTTTGTCGTGCTTCTGGCCTGCCAAATCCTTAGACTTTAAGAACGATACTTGTTTCGACATTTTGTGCTGCTTGTTTTTGTTTTCTCTAGACATTTTTAGTTTTCAAAAGACTTCCTTAGACTTTTTTGCATTTCCGAATCCACGGACTAGCCTCGGTGTCCCAGCAGGAGTTTTTGCGCCTTTGGTCACTCTGGCAGGGTTAGCTTATTGAGTTGCATCTTGAGAAGCGTTTTCTGCAGTGCTGGCAGCGGGGGCTCTAAATTTCTGCGCAGCCCGGGCTGGCGCCTTGAAGGTAGTCAGCTTTCTGTGTCTAGTTCGCTTGCAGCACCTTGATAAGTCTAACATTTCCAGCCACAAGGAGGCATCCAGCAAAGAGGGTATGAAACAAAGAGGTTACTAAGTGGGTCCTATACGATCCAACAAGGGCTTGCCCTTTTTGACAACCGCGCATGGGATTGCGTGGTTTTGCCACTTCTTGTTTCCGATCTTTGCAGCAGAAATACCAATTGCAAGTAATACTGGAGAGAGATGCCAGAAGAATCGCTTTGCTTCCTCACATCCTACCTCTCTCGACCATGCCCTTTTTGCACTTCAGGACAGTTTGAGAAGGAATCGGACACGTGAGAATAACACATGATTCTCTTCTCATCATGACTTAAATTTGGTTTTAATATCCCCCACCACTCCATTCTAGGTTGCTTCTTTTTCTGGGGTCTCCTCCAAAACCATGTCATGTTTTTGGCTAGCCTAAACTATGAGGCAGAATCTGCAAATCCGATTTTCTTGTCCCGTTTTTGTGGGCCAACGGCAGTTTGAAACCGGCAAGGAGTCCCTGCAGAAGAAGCCCGGCCAGGCAGAAGAGTGAGAAGTGACGAGTAAATGGACGAATTGGACGTTTGGGGAACATTTGGAGGAACCCTCCCATTTTGGGGAACCGCGTGTTTTGAGAAATACAATCAGTTTGACACGTGCCAACCAAGGTCTAGCAATGCTGAAAACGGTGCAGAGCCACTCCGTCAAAACAATCCTTCTACTGAAGAGGGCTGGTCATATTTTGCGCAAAGGAAGTGCCCTGGTGTTCTACATCTTAAGTTGCGTGTTGCTTTTGCCCACGGCTGGAGTTGGAGAAAGCAACTTGGGCGTTCTCCTTGCAATGGGCCTTGCGTGAAGTTCAATATTGAAATTGTGAAGGGGGGGGTAGATAAGTGTTTGGGCACTTCGATGTGCCTGTGAGAGGTCCTTGAGCTTCAGACGGGCCAGTTGCTCCAATCCTTTTGATCTCAGGAGCGAGCGACTGTGGTCAAAGGCCTTCAAGTTTGGCGTTCCTTTGCCTTCCCGAAAATCCGAATTCTGTCGGACCACCCAAAAGGGAATCCAAAGGAGAAACACCGCATGGGTGGGTGTTGAGTTGAAGGCGCACCGTGGCAGTAGATGGCGCCATTCCTGGATGACCGTGCCTCTTCAAAAGACCCAAAACCGCTGATGGGGGGGGAAGCAGCCCAAAGCCAACGATCGCGCCAGGGCAAGATGCAGGGCAGCACCGACGAGGAGTGCTGCGAGACCAAGTTCTGCTCCGCCTGGCAATGCAGCGACGACACCAAGTGGGCCCTTCGGCCGAAGAGTTTCCGTTTGGCGCCGCTTGCGACATCGGGAGGGAATGTTGGAAAATGCTCAAGTACTAGGGAACCCGCCATGTGTTTATTCCACCAGCCAAAAAAACAATCTAGCGTTCATGTGCTAGGATGTGTGAGGGAACTCACCTTGTGTTGATGCCAACACGCGCAAGCATTGACACAGTAGGGAGCCCACCATGGGTTGATCCCACAAGCATGCCAGCGTTGACGTATTCGGGAGCCCCCCGTATGGATGCCACCTCAACCACAATGTTAGCGTCCGCGTACCAGGAACCCTGCCACGTGTCTCAACCGAAGAGTGTTTGCGTTTACGTATGTGTTGCTTCCAATTTGCTGAATAAGATGTGTATTTCCCTCTGTTGGCTTGAAAGGGACTTCATCACCTCTGGACATATTTGTATATTTGTCCAGGGACTCCAGGAAATGGAGGGTTGATGCCACCACAACCAGCAAATCAGCGTTTACGTGCTAGGGAACTGGCCCCCAAAAGGTGAAAAGGAGATTCCTGCAGCGGAGGTTTTTGCCAAATACCCCGCGAAAACGAGGCGCGGGACCGGGTGGTCCTTTGGATTCCGTGTCCCGGAACAGGGCTGTGGGGAATGGAATCCACTTCTGTGATAAAGCAAAAAGGGCCTAACCCCAAAGACTATTTTGTTAAATGAAAGGGGGATTCCCTTGTATCACAGAAGTGGGGAGAAACCCCTTGATGCCACAACCCTGCTCCGGAACACAGGTGCACCTCTCGAACCAGCATGGCGCCACCAACTTGGACCGCCGCGGCTACTCTGACGAGGAGTGCTGCGACCAGAGGCGAGTCGGCGCGAGGGAGGGAGCGAGCGATCGAGCAAGCAATCCCGGGTGGTTGTCTGAAGTGGGAACACAAGATGGACCCGAAAGAAGAGCCCTTTTGTATTTTTCCAAAAGAACCGCTATGACACAATAGCCATTTTGGTGGGTCCTTTTGGCTCAATACTGGGCAGATGGATTGCAACTCGCCGGTTGCCCGAAAAGGCATTGAGAATTCCAAAGTCAAGGGGACACTTTCCAAGCAAAGCCCAAGGTTCACCTTTGCTGCTGTTTCTACTTAGCTCTTCAGTTGGACTTGGCAACCTTCCCTGTTGAGCACCGTTACCGTTTCCTACTAAGGCGCCTGACCGAACGCATTCTGAAAGGAACGTTACCTACGAGGAACGCTTGACGACCAGCTTTGTTCGTAAGTTTGAATTTTAGGAAGTGCAGATGTTTGATACGGATTTTCAATCAGGGGTCCTCTTTTTGGATATGGTTTTAATGGGAAACGCAAGGAACACCAACCACTTGAAGCCGTTGCTATGGCTTCAGTTGCCTCGCCCCACCGCCGAGGTTTTGCCTGTCAGAGACCTGCGATCCTTCCACCCAGTGGAAGGCCAAAGAAGGCAGGAGCCCAAATGTTTGGGGGAGCGCTCAGGGGTGGTGTGTGGGGCGGGTAGGGGGGATGGGGTGGGTTGGTGGGTGGGTGGGTGGGTGCCAGGGGGAACGAGGAGAAGAGGCCCTTGCCATGTCCATGCTGCTCCTGACTTTGCAATTTCAGCTTCATACCCAGCCCAGTTTTGGGGGCAGTCTGCCGATGTTGCCCGCCAGAAAGCCGGGTGGAACTTGGGCAGGCGCAGGCACCCGCGTGCTTCATGCAGGTTTTCTGCAGGGGCGATGGGTACTTCCTTGTGGACCATTTTGCAGATCGACAAGGGCCTGCCACGGGTTTTTTGCACCCAGCAAATGTCGAAGACAAGCTGCCAACAAGTGAAACACTAATGGGACGCCAGAATTAATTCGGGAGTCCAAAAGTGGTAGGGGTGTGCTTGACTTTTGGGTCCCCCCTCTCACGAAATAGGGCCAGCTTCCCATGAGTCCAGCCACGAGCCAGGAGCTTAGGAAATTGGAAACTGGGAGACTGGGAGACCGCTACTTTCAGGGTCTGGAGGGTTTCAGGGGGTTCCGGTGCTGTTGCGGATACCACCTCACCTTTTTCGACCTGCATTTTGCCTTCGTGGGTTGACCCAAAACGAGGCGCTCGAACTGAGTCCTAATAAGGTTTCGATCGCTTGCATCAAAGAATCACGTTTGTAGCATAGCGTCCCAGAGAGCTTTTTCCCTTCTTCTTTTCAGCGGGGGGGTACCCTACTCACGCTGCTTCTTCCCGGGAAACCAAAGGAGAGTCGCCACATTAGAGGTCGCCGAAATGTTGACATGCCGCCTCTCTGTTTCACTCTGCTCCGAGACTTTCAGAAGATCCAGGGCAGCACCAAGGAGCAATGCTGCGACAAGATCTACTGCCCCTGGGATGCACCGGAGATAGACGGGCACATTTCCGCCTTTGGGCGTCCTTTGACCAAGGAGGCTTCCTTCTCCCCTTCTCCCCAATCACCAGGTACGGTTCCTTCTCCCTTCTGGTGGGTGTCCCTTGACGTCCCTTGATCCATTTCTTCAGGTCCAATGCCAGGCATTCCGCGAAGTCGAGATGGGATCCGATCCGATTGGCACGGGAGAGCTGGCGGTAGACGTCCATTTTCTGATATGAAGGGGATGTCATTTTGAGAGTCGGGTTCCATGTCACTGCAAAGCTTTACCCAAGAACTTGGCGCATCCCGCAAGCAGAAGGTTGCTCTGTAGGTGGTTCGCTGGACAGGGTTCCTGAAAGGATACATCTAAAAGCCACCTGCTTCACAATGGGATCCAACTCAGCAGGTGAGTTTCAATTGGCCCAACTGCCTCGAGCAGAAGGAACCCTAGAGAATTTGTTTCGTTCTTCGGGGGGGGGGGGGGGGCAACGCTTGGAGTGGATTTGCAGCTCGGATTCGCAGCAAGTAAGGCAATGACTTCGTGTGTGACACGGACGTGAACAACACGGGCGTCGGCACCCAATGGTCGCTCGGCTTATAGAGCGGAACAAGGGGCGGGGACCTCGTTTGTACACGCTTGATTCTTCGAAGGGCAGTTCTCTCCAGTCCCAGCCAGAGTTGATTATTTACACGGTTTTTGGGGTATGCCCAGGTTTTGATTATGCCTCGGCGTTTTGCTTCCCGCCTATTTGGGCCATGGATTTGGATTTATCAAACTCAGTTGTCAATTTTGCACTCGGGTTTGTCTAAAAGGTTGGGACACTCCTGAAATGGCCAAAGGTTTCCTCATATGGTTTCCTCTTAAAACCAACCAAAAGCGGTCCCCCCAAAAGGCACGGCCAGCTGTCTTTCTTTTGGTAACTTTGGTCGAGCTGAAGTTGCTGTGCCATGTATTGGAGATGGGGGGTTCAGAAAAGGGGGGTGCCTTTTAGCCCAATAGATGTCACCCCCCCAGCCAGCGTGGCACTCCCACTAATGGCGACACCCCCCTTCCCCTTTCTTCCTTGCGACTAAATGGAAGGATACCCTCATCCTGCCGGCGCACTGCTCTTCCCAAACTAGAACCGCCTGCGTGCGTGGTGTGCCATGCGTGGTCGTTTGTACAGGTGGCCCCCACAGGCAGCCTCCTCGCTGTCAGTCAAACCGGTTGGATGCTTGTAGGGGTCATTCCAATTCTCATTCCCTGGGGACCGGCGAGATCATTTTCATAAAGGTTCCTTTCTTGATTCCTGATGTCAGGGTCGGTCGCTGGCTTTGATGATTCATTGGCGAAGCTTCCGGCCATCGGACCAGCTTTTTCGAGTCAAGTGACATTCTACAGTTTGTCCGAGGAGGTGCTGGTCCGGACAAATCGTCCAAAAGTGATGTTTCAAACCCAAAAGGGAATCATGGGGACGCTGTGGAGTGCTTGGAAAGCGGCACCGAAATTGACCTGGCTGGATCACTCAACTTGGGGAAACATAGGGACGCCATGGAACGCTAAAGCAGGAGCACGCAGCACCCTTCTACCGCCCCCCGGAGGCAAAGTGGAGGGAGCATGTTTCCTCATTTCTGTTGCCCATATATGCTTGCTGCAAATGGGGCCATCTCGGAGAAACCCGCTGTGTCAAACCCACCCTCTTTGCAAGAGCGTAAAAGGGGAAACAAAGTAGGCAACCCAAAGTAGGGATATGAACAGGAGGGAAACCAACATGAGGGAAACTAACAGGTGGGAAACAAAAACGAGGTTCAAAGGAAATCTTAAGGGACCATTTGGAGGGATATGTTTGACAGCCCAGAAACGAGAGCAGACACGCAGAGGGGCATGGGAATTAGGGGCCTCTTGTGGGACTCCCAGGAACTTCTTTGAAGAAATGGGTTTTGTCCTTGACCTTTTGCTCATCCAAGTCAGAACTTGGCCTTTTTTTTTTGGGAGCGAGGGAACGAGAGAAGTAGGGAGGTTGGGGAACTGTTCCTCCTCAGGTACAAGCGCGTGGACACCAACATCTACAAGTGGCAGGGCAGCACCAACGAGGCGTCAGCTTTTGGGCTTCGGCAAGAGCCACTGGGTCACACAATCTCATGAAGCTAGAAGCAGGGGTGCATCAATTGTTCTCCTTCAAGGTTTGTACTCAGCCTTTTTTGATGACCTGCGGGTCGTCATTTGCTTCAAAGAGCTCAAGTTTGCAGCCAGAATGGAGGTCGCACCGAACGAAGACGGCCTTCTTCATGACGCTCAGTTTCCATGTGCCTCCGATTATTTCCGATCCATTGGCCAAGTGTCAAAGGGCTACATCAAAGGTGTTCTCCGAAGCAACTTGCTCAATTTTTCCAGATTTTCTCTGTTGCACTGCCCGGTCAAAGAGCTCTGAGCTGACGGTCCCTCGAGGAATCGCCGCCGGTTGACCGGGGGTTATGGCAAGCCCTACTTCGCAGTGTGCCTTTCTCCACAGTTTTACATTGAGAGGGCTTTGTACATCAAGTGCCGACGTTCGGGCTATCAAAGTTCTCCAATACCAGGGGCAGGAAATTGGCAGGCGATCTTTTGGTTCCCCAGTCGCCATGGGAGCTTTCGGGGAGGGCTGCGGAGTGGGGTTTCGGGTTTCGGAGCTGGGGATGGGGCGAAAAGCAAAAGTCGTTCGAGCACTTTCGAGCCTTTCTTCCTTTGGCAGGAGTGCTGCATGCCGATCTTCTGCAGCCAGTACACTACCAGCCACCCCACCCGCTGGAGCAGGCACCTGTCGTTTCGTCGGCCCCGAAAAAAAAGCTTGGCGCGCCCTCGATGCCCCCGAAGCCTTTTCGCCGGCTGAAAGGTGGCCTCGTATTGGCGTCTCGCTACGGATTGTTATGGAGTCGGGCCCCCGTGTTGAACAATCCAGCAAATTTATGCAGGAATTATCCAGCGACTAGGAGGGTCCAAGGGGGCGGGAGAATCTATAACGGCTTTTCGGCCCACTCCCCCTTTTTCTGAAGACAGGGGTCCTTAAATGACTGATTTCCATTTGGTTGCCCCTGACATGCCAACTAAAAGGGGGTCCACCATTTTGAGAAACTCCTTTACGGGGCTAGAACCCAGTTGTTTGCGGGTCCCACAAGACTATTGTGTATTTCAGGGTTAGACTAGACAGGACGCAGCACCTGAACATGGGCATCTTGCTGGTTCTCAGGAATGAAGATGGGGTTTGGGAGTGAACCGGAAGGGGACTTTCTTAAGGACACCATGCGTTGGTGCGGGCCGTTCCAACTCATTCCCCTGCCCGCCGGCTGAAAACCTGAGGTTGGTCTACAAGGATACCAAAGGGACAACCACCATGTTTGGGCTCCCAAAGCCAGCTGAGTATCATACAGGATGTTTTCCATGAGGGGGCCCGCTATTTAGTCAAATCCCTCCCTCTTGGACGCAGACCCCACAAATTCAGTACAGCTTGGTTGGGCAAGCGCTCAAAGGCTTGAAGGTGGGTACCCTTTTCAGGTTTCTTTTTCAAGGGACACCAAACCGACCGCTGCCAAAATAGGGGGGTCCCCTATGTTAGACCACATACACTCGAAAAACCTGGGAACAGCAAAATAATAGAGGTTAGTACAACCACTTTTCCTTTGCCCAAGGATTGTAATACTGTGGATGGACGAAATCCTGCACCGCTTTGAAACCATGGGAAAGCATTGTTTGTTGGTATGTCCAGGGGAATCATCCTTCCAGGGTTTCTTAGGTGGTGCAGGATTTCGTCCATCCACGGTAGGGATTGATGCTTAGGGCTTGTGGCCCACTGAGGGGGCCTTCTGAAACCAACCGATTCCTTCCAGGAAGAAGGACCCCAGCGTCAAGGGCAGCACGGACGTGGAATGCTACGACCCCCTGCTCTGCTCGGACTACTGCTGCGACAAGCAAGCAGGCGAGACGCAACCCGAAGATGGCGGTTTTTTATCGGCTCGGGTTGGGAGTTGTCGTGCCTAAGGTATCTGAGTAGTTTTTGGGTTTGGTTTCATATTGCGTGTGGTTTTGAGTTTACGTTGTGTTTGCGATGAGGTGTGGAAGTCTTTTTTGTTTGGGTGCCTCTTTTTGGCTTATGTACCCTGAGGTTTGGTGGTTATGAAAGTAGGCAGCACTTCTTGTCGTTTTTGACAATTGGCGAGTTTTTGGCTTGCTTTGGAAGGTTTGCCAGCACCTCTCTTGGCGTCTTGGGTTGCTTGGCAAGTTACACTTTTGGTTGAACACCTGAGTCTTTCTTCGGACAAGCAGCACGAGCCCAATTTTGTCTAGCTTTGGAGAGATTGGCAGAGGTCTGCAAAAAGGTTCTGTGGTTTGCGCGATTGAAAGGCGGAAGATTAGGAGTTGCGGAAAAAGGAAAAGAGCGCAATTATGCATCTGAGCGCGATGTCAAGCACGCTTCGGACAAAGAGTTGTACGACTGGATCCTAGGCTGGGTTGACGACAGTAACTTGTAGGACGACGGCCAGCCAACCATTTTGCCAGTTTTCTTAACGGAGATATGAATATGACTTGACTGCCGTGAAACATGGCGATAGAGGTCCAAGCCGTGGTAGTCAAGGACAGCGGTTCAAAATCGGGTCTTAGGAAACACCACGGGTCAATCATACTTGTGGTATCAAGCTTGCATGGGCTTGAAATGGGAAAGGCACTCCGTTTCATGTAAGCGGTTCTCTGAATTGCAGCCATCCAGTCTGAAGTTTCGAGACGAGTCCAGTTATGTCACTATGGAGTCTATAATGCGTGACACAATTTACTCTTGTCACTTGTCAAGCCGGGGGCGAGCTTTGAGGTTGCCAGGCATAGGCCCAGCAAAGCGGTTTGTTGACTGATGTAGAGAAGGGTAGGCGAGCCGGGCTCGATCTTCCAAACCCGCGCTGGCCCTCACCCCTTCCCACCTTGACCAAAGCGGCCGTCTTTCGTGAACCCAACCCGAATATCCCAGGGAAAGCCAAAAGGAAAGCCAACAGTTTGATAATACCCTAAGAGGAATCCCGGGAGCCACCAATCCCACGTGCCTGGCGGCTTTTTGCCACCGGAGTATGTGTCTCTCTGCTTTTCCGGGGCCCTCGGTTGAGACAAAAAAACCGCCGCCGCCGCCGCGCTCCGATTCTTGGGCCGGGAGGCCTCGAGCACCGGCCGAACCCGGAGAGTCACCAGGGCAGCACCGACGAGGAGTGCTGTGTGAAGGCCCAGTGAGGCGCCTGTCAGAGGTTGTTGGCTTCCTGGTTGGAGGTGGTTCCCAGCCCTCGGGTTGAGGTTTTCAGATGTTAGGTGGTTTAGTGACTGGTCGGTTTCCATTTCACCCACGAAAAGTTGGAAACTTTAGCAGGGGGTCAGAAAACGGACAGGATGGAGGTTTGCTTTCTCCCTTTCTTCTTTTGGAGGGCCTGTACAAGTGGATGTTGCCTTTTGGAAAATTAATCTTTAGAGCCTCCGGCTCATTCTGCCGACTTCTGCGCTAGCGTGATAGCATCACAGAAATACACCCACACAAAACCCAAGAGCACCCAAAGCAAGCCCCCTATCGGCCATTTGAGCGGGTGGCTCTACTGTTTCATTTCAGCGTGAAATTGGTGGATGTTCCCTCCAGATGAGCGAAGCGCATCCGGAAGTTGGAGGCCTGACTCAAGTGCTGAATTTGGTTTAGGTTTAGGGTTTTGGTCTTGGTTTAGTCTTGGTTTAGGGTTGGTTTAGGGTTGACCGTCTAATACGTCACGCCCGGCCAAAAAAGCAAGCGATGATTTTGAAGTGGCAGGCCACCATTTTAGGAGTTCCGGGGGTTTGACGCCCGCGAAACTGCCGCTTCGGGCTTCGTGGGTTGCGGGGGGGTCGCCGATACTGGGCTTCAATCGCCCCAGACCCATTGCGGGATCGGCTCGCCCGAAACAAGCGTCTCACATCAAGGTCTTGCAAAGTCATTGCCCTTCAAGAATCAGTTGTTCTTCAATCGCAAAGGATGAGGAATTTTCTTGATACCATACCTTCCATGGTGTAACATGATGTAACCCATCACCAGGCTCGCCGCAGTGTGGTCCACTGGATGTTTGGACCGTTGAGCCGGTTCTTGATCCGTTTCATAAGGCTTTGTTTTGTTCAGTCCGTTTCCTCCAGGCAATGTACGGGCAGGGAGCTTGGAGCAACTCGCGAGGCCGCCCGACACCTCGAAGAGGCGTGACCATGCCCCGAAGGGCGCCAGATCTTAGACGCTGCGAAGGGCGCGATCAAAAGCGGCCCGGTCTTTTTCTCGAAGGGTGCAGATTTGGGGAAGCCGTCCAGAATTCGGGGTGTCCCCTTAGGTCTAGATTTGGGGAGTAGCTGGGTTCGTGGCCCTCAAAGGGAAACACCAATTTGAGGTGGGTGAATTGCCACCCAGATGATCCAAATCAGTGACCCCCTGCGTGGTGAGTCTACGCCGGGGTGCTCCTTCCGACTCCCTCGGCAAGCTGGAACAAGTAATAAGGAAGGATAAAGTGGATTTCCGCCACAAAATGCCAGTGAACTCATCCATGGGGCAAACGGAAGCTGATACGAGCTTTGTTGTCTGTTCCATTTCTCGTGGCCTCCTTTTCTCTGAATCAATCAACCTTGTTCTGGGGGAACACCCCCCCCAAAAAAAAAACAAGGCTTCAGGGACAAAGCTCCGTCAGAGGCACGAGGCATTGCAAGCCTTCGGCCTGAGATGCCGCCGGAAAGGCATCGGGAAGCCACCCATCGGAAAGCAGAGTTGAAGCAATCGGCAAAGCGCCCTTTTTTCTTGAGGCAAATGACGGCCAAGCCTTTCCGAAAACACGGACAGCACCAAAAGACGGCAGAGGCAAGAATTGGCACGTGCAGTTTAGGCATCCATTTGGGATCTTTCCCATCATGAACTTGGGGATCCCTTCGAGCCAGAAAGGACAATGGACAGAACAGAAACAGCTAGAGCTCCTTGTTTTTCCATTTAATTTTGGATTTCCATCGCTTCGCTTCGCTTCGCGCTTCGCGCCTCGCCTCGCTTCCGATGGCGGCGATGGCGGCGGTGAAGGCGATGGAGGTGGCCTGCGTGTTTAGCGCGGAGACTCGGACCGAGGAAGCACGGAAGGACTTGGATGGATGGATGCATTCCTTTCCGAGAGAAACAAGAAAATCGTCTCAGGGGACCCCCGGTAAAAAAAAGGTCTCATGGGGGACCCAGACAATAGCAGGTTGTTTGTGGGAAAAAGAAAGAAAGAAAGGTCTCAGAAAGGACACGGAAAAGAACACGGGGCTCGTTTTTTTTTTTTTTTTTTTTTTTTTTAAGGGGTCCAGGTTGCAAGGACAATCATGTTTGTGTAGCGTCCGAAAGGAGCCCCGTAGTTAGAGCCCATTTAGGGTCGCATAGTTCATAGGTCGACCAGGGATGAGTTGACACACTTTATGCACTTTGAAGTCGGGAGATGTCTCCTTAATCAATTAAAAAGTCGACTGCAAGGCAGACTGGGGTTCTGTGTCCTTGCTGGTTCTGGGTCCCATCCAGGTTGATTTCAGGAGTCATTTCAGGAGGGTGAACACTCATTTCTGGAGGAGCTTGCTTTGAAATCAGGGGAACTTGGGATGCATCAAGCTGTGCAAGGCTTCCCACGAAAGTTTTCCACATTTTAGCTATTTTTCGGCCATGTTAGGCCATCTTCAAAGCAGTTTGCATGTGGTTGGGACAATGCAATGGCATGACCTGGCGTTGGGGTCCACATTGCTACTTGGGACTCGAATCTGTTCGGCACATGGGTTCCAACTGTCAACTAGTTTTTTTGATGGACATGATGACGGAACTAGGGGTAGAACTTGGACAAACTGGAAACTCGCCAACTTACTCTGTCTTTGAAGATGGCGACCCCCTCAAATGCTCGGCCCGACTTTGTTTGGCGACGTTTGGTGGGCTTGCTGGTCTGTTTCGTGCGCTTCATAGCTCTAATGGCAGGTATTGTGGTTGGCCGGCAAAGATTTTTGCCACTCCAGGACCTTTCCCAACAAAAAACAGAAACTGACAAAATTGGATTTGCAGTCGACTGTTGGTCTGGGGAGGACATCTAAAAAATAGGGGGACGAGCCCCAAGTTTTCTATATCCTTCTGGGGCTGCCTGCGAATCACATCTAAAACGAAAGCATAACTTGTGATTATTTTGACTGGTCCGACCTTTGTTAGCACCACATGGGTGATTTCATTTTAGTCCGTTTGTGTCTGTGGTCTTTTGGCAATATGGATGTGAAATTCATTGGGGAACCATCTCCAAAGTGGTTGGTGGACAGAACATTGCGCGGGGTCGGGGATGCCCGGGCTTATCTTTTGAGGGTACCCTTTGCGGGGTAGGTTCAAAGGAAGCCCAAAGGACCGCCCCCCATTTCTAAATCCTGCACTAGTTGGTAGGTGGTTTGTCCCAGTATTCATAAACAGTTTCCTCCATTCCTGCGAAAAAAGGAAAAGGACAAAAGTAAACAAAAAAGAAAGAAAAACGCAGAGCCACTGCTGCCAATGTCGAACCCTAGCCCAACGTACCCCACTCGAGGTCCAGAGGACTGGCAAGCGGCCGGCGAAACCTCGCCGCTGGGCTTCAAGTGCAGCGGCAGCTTCTGTGGCCGAGGCCTCAGATGACTCGGGTGGGCGACCGACGAAGGTCGCACCAGGGTTTGATTTCATAGCGGAACAAGGTGTGTGGTGATGTCGCCCCAATTTTTGTTCTGGTTCATTTGCATGCGGGTTCCGATCGCATGCGCAGGAGAATTGTGTGTGTAGAGCATCCGAAAGGAACCCATTTGTCAGAAGCCGTTTAAAGCACAGGGAACCCTTGCCTACATTAAAACACAGGGACCCTTACCTGCATCGGTGGGGTCCTGATTTGGAAGTCCGGAAACACCTGCATTGTATTCCTTGAGCGCCGAGCCTCAGGTCGGAACATTGAGAAGATCTACCAGGAAGCCGCCGGGCGCAACCTTTGCGCTGTTTCAGATTCACGGACACTTCTTTGCAGGAAGGTGAGGTCTTCTTTCCAATGGTTTCGTTGGAATGCTGGCAAGTTTGAATGTGCTATGAACACAATGGCCATCCTGCGGAAGGACGCGTCTTGCATCCAAGATCCTCTGACTGCAATGCTCTTGGCTGGTCATGCAGTCCTGCACTGGAATGCCCTGCAAAACCAACTCAACCACCCGGGGTCCAGTTAGGGAAGCCGAGGATGTTTCAGCAACAGCGGCCGAAACATGCGCTTAAACAAGGTGATGTGCAAGCCCGCCACGTTTAGAGGGCATGTGCCTTGATGTGGGTCTGGGTCAAAATTGAACCACCAGTGGACCGCAGGTTTTGGTCCATGTTTCCACTTACCAGGGCAAGCCATTTTGGGTACACATTTTTGACCACCACAGCCATGTGTCAAAAAGTTCCCCCTGAGCACCGCGACAGCTGTCGCGGTCCCCTCCCTCCGGCCATCCGGCCAACCCAAGTCGGCGCTTTAGGCCAAGAGCAGCGGGCGGCCCTGTGATCTCGGCGCCGCAGTGCAGGCGCTGAGGAAGGCGGGGGCTGGGGGGCTTGGGGCTTGGGGGGCTTGGGGGCATGGGGACGCTCAAAGGATAGCTATGGATTCTTCCTCATTTTTGAAATGCAAATGACTTTTGGGAAATCCACATTTGTTTAAATCCAAATCCATTGTTGATTGGTGTCCAAGTTCTCCCTCCGGACACGTCCCCAGCTGAGAGGCGACGCACGTGCTGGTGATCAGCGGCTTCTTCGTGCTTTGGCCGCAAGGCCGGGAGCCAGCGGGAGGTGAGGAGCTGACAGGAGGCCCCCCCCCCCCCCCAAAACCCAAATCCGCTGGATGGGGTTCTGGGGTTCTCCGCCTCACCTCTCCCTCCAAAGTACAAGAGCTTTGAGGGCCCCCGCGCCAAAATCAAAGATTCCTGCTGGATGGGGTTGTCCCAAAGCGAGAATCATTAATCCCCCCCTCCCCCTCACCTCTCTCCCTCCCCAAAAAAGAAACGATCTCTGCCTTTCCAGGTCCTTTGGAAAACCACGGCCCCCCGAGCAACATGTTTCTTTAACTCCAACCCCCGCACAGTCCGCACGGGTACATTCGCCAAAGGCACGGCGGCCACAGACCTGGACCAAGGTCTGGTTGCTTAGCAAACTTTGCCCAATTTGCAGGGTCTTGGCCCCTCAAAAGCTCAACCTTGTATTCCGAGGTTCGTTGGTAAGCTCACCAACCATGAAGACGGCCGTTTTCAGCCCTCAGGGGTGACGAAGGGGGAGCCCAGTTGCAGTACAAACCGGGGGAGTCAGGAGCTTTCTCCAAGTCAAGCCCTTTTTGGGAAGCGGCTTCTCTTCGCGGCCCTCTTGAGCTTGAAGGCTATGGTTTATGTGGGACAAATGCACCCAGCTGAGTCCCTGCAGCTATGTGCCTTTTTTTTCCCGCTTGGAACTCAGGGTCACCTAGGGTTCACCCAAAATAAGTCATGATCCCCAAAAGCTGTTGGTACTACTGTGAAGCCTTCATCTAGGATGTCCTTGCCTCTCTTCTCCCCACGCGGGGAAGCAAACAGCTCTGGCTCCACGAAGCCACAAGGATAGGCAGCTGGTCTCGGCTCCTTTGGTTTTCCTTTTCCAGAGGCCAGCTTTTTCTCCTGTCCCCTGTGAAAGGCTCCAACGGATGCCGCAAGTAGACCAACCACAAGCCATGGGGAACTTCTGGGTCCCAGAGTTCCCTTGGTGTTGTGCTTTTTTTGAGGCTCCACTTGGCTTATTCCCAAACCCAAGAGAACCGAAGCCATTTGGAGGGGCCACGGCGTCGCGGCCGCTGTCGAGGCCCTCCGCCCTTCCACGGCAGCTGTGAGACGGATGGGCCGCTGGGCGCGCTGGCGGTACTGCGGGCGCTGTGCGCACGAGGCGCCAGTTTCGGGCAGAGAAAGTATCTGGTTTTAGGTAACCCGTCAGATTGGTGTGGATTGGCGGTTGGGGATGAGGGGAAACCCCTCTTTAACCAGCAAACCACAACCGCCAAATCCAAACCGCCAATTAGACGGAAGCTGATGGTTTCATGGGTGCCATGGCAGCAACTTTTCGGACATTGGTAGAGCCAAAGTTAAAGGACAATCCAACTATGACTAGGTGAGGATATCCACCCTTTTGGCCCTGTACATCGTTTTGACTATGACTCAGCGCAGGTGCAGTGGTGGGCGGGGGGTGGGGGGGATGGGGGGGGGCCAAGTGGAAGGCCCGAGAACTGAGTGCGGAAATGAGTTGCGCCGTTGGGCTTTGAATTGAGCCAGGGGGGTATTATCAAGGAGTCCCTCAAAGTTGCACGTGTCCAATCGAATTTTCTTCCAAAGGCTGTTCAGGTTGTGACGCGCACTGTGGACGATTGAGGGGGATGTGATTCCATGAATTCCTCAGCTTCAGCCGTTCGCCGCCGAGGCCTGCCTCGATAGCTTGTAAGGGAAGCAAGATTGGATGGTCATCTACTCTTGAGGCTGGGCTTGCAACTGTCAATGATTATTTTAATTATAATGTAAGTCCATGGCGTTGGCGTACAGGGTCCCTGTGTGTAACCCTGTTTGAGGGCGCCTGTCCAGCCAGGTTTGGGGGGGGGGCACCTTTTGAGGCCTAGCAGCAATTACTTGTTCCTCTGAAAATTAGCTTGGGATTCCAAGGAGGAGTGCCCCGACAGATACTTTGGCGTTCTTTAGTTACAGATCAACTGCGCCCCTACCTTGCCATTTGAGCAATCTTGCGATATTATCTTCCCGCATCGTGTCAGCCAACGTTGTGGAGGCATCAAGGTCTCGCTTTTTTGCGACGTCCACAACGGTCCAGTGATGAAGAAGGCCTACGACTCGATGCTGGCGCATTTCAAGGAACACGACCCAGGCACCGGGAAAGGATATTCTTGTTTAGCCTCACGTAGCGACTCGCCGACCCTGAAAGAACTCATTTGGCTTCCGTTCTGAAACAAGAGATGGTCATTCACCTCGCCATCCCCAAAACTACGTTGTATCTGCGGGTCTAAATCTGCAGTAGAATCTGAACCGACGTTTTCCCGCGACCATGGCTAGCTCCCTTGCGAGTCGAGGATGGCAATGGCGAGTGGACGGTGGGCGAAGAAACCGGGAAGGGCAAAAGAAGCCAGCGGCTGGAAACATCACTGGCCCGTTCGGCAACCAAAAGGGGATGGATGGATCATTTTTGTCAATCTTGTCAGACCCCTTAGTTCAGACCCAGCATGATAGCGTATGTGCCACGCTCAAAACAAGCAGCAACACAAATGCTCGACTCGGCTTAGCGTCCGCCTGCCGAAAAGGGGATTGCAAGCGCTTCGCCATTTCAGGCCCCTTCCCACCCAATTTGTTAGCAACCCTGAGGCTTCTGGGAGGTGCTCTGCTCCAAAAGCCGCTGCCTGCCCTTTGTGGCAGACGACGAAGCGGCGGACGGAGGCCAGCTGGAGCTGCTCAGAAGAGAGGCCCTCTGTCCGATCTCGGGAAGCAGAAAGCCGGAAGCGGTTCTCAAGTGGAGCCTGGGACCGTGCAGTGGAGGCCGTTTTACATTCCAAGGTTCACTAAAGATGGACCAGGGTCTAAACATGTGATTTGGTCCTGGGGGCAAAGAGCTTGTTGCTTGATCACACATCGGGGTTTTCCATTTCAATCTTCAACCTATATTACCCCCCCCAAGACCTGAACCAATTCTAAACCCTACAGCCCTAAACAAAAACTTCCTGCAACCTAATGCACACCGAAGAGGCTGTTGCCCAAATGCAAACATGCCTCCACCCCTGGGTGGTTCCTGACTACCAGGGCAAGCATAAGATGAGGATCGAAGCCGCTCTATACCCTGTACGCTGTTGCATTTGCCCTCACTTGTGCATTGATTGATTAGGCGACGAAGTGCGGCACAAGCAACAGAATGTGTTTTCTCAATTTAGCAGCATCAAAATGCCCATTGGCCATTGTTTTAGCTGGTTCAGCTGCTTGGTTTGGTTGGGTTTATAGCAAGGCCTATTCATCCTGTATAGGCATCTTAGTAGAAGGGTTTGGGCACTGCTCAAATGAGTGAGTCTCACTTTAAATAATGAAGATTCTCTGATCAGCGGTGCGGCAATGGAAGCGTTGAACTGCTGACGCTGGACAAGTCCCATGTGCCTGCCACCGTCAGCATCCTTTGTTGTTGGATCAGATGATGGGGACAGTTCTCGAGGAAAACCAACATTTAACCAGCCACTTCAGCTTTCATTTCCTGGTGCGCTGCGGACTCTCAGTGCATTGTGAGATTTGGGTCCTTTCAGTCGGCCTCAGACAGAAATGGTCACGACCTGTTAGTGCAGGGGGCCCAATTCTTGCGCCTGCTTTCCCCCGACCCCCTTGGCCCAGGCTAGAGATTCAGCGTTGGTTTAGGTTAGTTAGGTCAGTTTGGTCAAGGTTAGTTGCGGCCCCCGGCCAGCTAGGGTTAGTCAAAATTAGTTGTGGTTGGAGAGCAAAACATCTTCTTGAAGACAACGAAGCCTGAAATCGTGTGGATGCCCGGTGGTGTCGAACAATATAGTCCACAAATCCACAGAGCAGCGTTACATCTGCTTCAAGACCACACAAGCTTTTAGCTTGACAAAACGGTGGCGATGCTGCTGATTCAGTCTAAGGCAGCCAGTTCGCGGAAGGTCCAAGAAATATGTTTGTTGCAGAGTTAGGCTTTTCTAAGATGGGTTTTCATGGACTCTACTTACGCAAGATCACTTCTACAGTGGCTCCTCTACTCACGCTTAGTCAACAAGCGAAGTCGCTTGCCGCTGAACTTGCTAGGATTAGTCAAGGTAAGATAGGGTTAATTGAGATTACCTTTCGGCTAGTTGTGCTTGGTTAAGGTTAGCTAAGGCTAGTCAGGTCCTTCAACTAAGCTTAACTAACACCTGAACTGAGCCCAACTGACCTCAACTAATCTGAACTAGCCGCCTGCAGCCCAGCACGGCATCTACTTTAAAGCGGACATCTGAGAATTTGGACTAAAATGCCGAGGATGCTTGCGGCAATGACCAATTTAGGCTACAGACCAGCGCGACGTCTAAAAAAGACAACGTGAAGCTTTTGGCTTGGCTAAACCCTGGGGATGCTGGCGGTGACGACCAATTGAGTCTACGCACCAGTGCGACGTCTACTTCTAGACAGCGCAAGCGGATGATACAGCGGTGGGGATGCTGGCGGTGACGACCAAGTTAGTCTACAAAGGCAGCCGGATAGGGTTGATTTAGGTTAGTTAAGGTTAGTTAAAGTTGGTTAAGGGCACCAACAGTTGGCTAAGGTTATCTAGTTTGGGTCTTGCAAAGAGGTTAGAACTGGGTGCATGTCTTGTCGAACGTTGCTACACGTGGTTTTATACCTTGAGAAGGTAGATCAACCCTGGTGGTCGAAAATTGGTCCATGGAAGCGCTTGACCTTCGACACGTTTCGCGCCAGGTCTTTGGGGAAGAGGCCACCACCGAGCTGCAGGCTCGCTCTCCCGGAAGAATGTTTTGGTGGCGCGTGTGTTGGAAAAACGCGCCCGCGCCGCGTTTGGTGCTTAGCAAGGCCAAGGAAAGGCGGCAGCCAGTTCAGGGCTCTCATTTGAAGACCCACGGCCCCGGCTGTTTTTTCTCCGACACGAGGCGAACTTTCCGACACCGAGGTTTTTCTGAAGAGGTTGTGGGCAATCCCTTCCGCCCGGCAATCCCTGGCCCTCTATTCTGAAATCCTCCCCGATGAATAGTATGTTTGGCTGGGAATATGTTCTTATTCGAAGGTTCCTGACAGGGGGGGGTTAGTACGGTCCTAGTCCAAATGGGGTCCCCCCAGGCACAAAACCCGCTACAATCGTAATCTGCTGAATATGGGATTTGTCAATTCAAAAGTACCAGCCACGAGTAAGGTTCCAAATTACAATTTGAGTTTACAATTATATAAAAGAAGGGACGTGCTGAAAGTACACCTTAATAAGGGCTGTCCGGAGTCTCGTAGTGGTTTAGTATTGGGCGAATTCATAGTAAAAGGAGAGTTTTTTCAGTTTTGACATGCAAAACAATATAGAGGTGGATTTATCAATAGGAGGAAGGGATTCATTCTGGCGGTGAACCTTCATGAGCTCCTCTTTTTTTTTTTCCTTTGTTTGCTTTGCACCGCGTTGATTTTATTAGAGAACAGTCGGGCGACCTGTGTTGCGACAGCCCAAGTCCATAGAATCAATAGCCCTTTTGCAAAGTAACTACGGAACGTAGCAGTTTGGGGCCTCAGGGCCTGCCATCCCCAAAGTCGGAAGCCCCGAGCCACACGCAAAACGAGAGAAAGATATGGGGGCAGTTCCAGCCAGAAGTGTGTGCACCCGCTTTTGTAATTTGCTTTCCTGGTGTTGGGAGGCAGGTCTCAGCTTTTATCTTCCCCGGAGATGTCCGTTAGCACGCGAGTTTGGGATCAGATTGCCAAAGGCCAAAGGAGTGGGTGGCCCCAGAACTTGAGACGCAACGTGATCTGCAAAGGGAATATGTTCTGTTTTTGTGCTGTTTTTTGCTGGGTGTGTTTTACTGCGTGGTACCTCTTGTTGGTGTTAAAGGTGCAGCCAACAGGAAGAGAAGCATTTGACATGTCCCTTCTTTCAAGAGTCTTGGTGTCTCTAGGCAGGTCTTTTTCTGGGGAGCAAGGGTGAACTCTGAAGCATACGATTCCCCCCCGCCCCAGCTGCGAAAAAGGATCGAGTATCAAAGAAATGTATACACAAGCAGCTGTTTGTTCGTGCATATGCACATACTGTGGATGGACGAAATCCATTTCGCACCACCTTAAGACTATGGTTGAAACCGTTATTTATTGGTAGCAGGGGAATCGAATCGTTGGGTTTCTTTGGTGCCTAAGAGGATTTCGCAACCATCCACAGGTCCGAGAATGTGGTACAAAAATATCAAAGGACTCAAAGGAAGGACATGAGTTGAACCTTTGTGAATGCCTAGCTGGTGCAACCGCGGATACATTTGCGCGTTACTCAGGCCGTCAAAATACTCAACCATGCTTGGGGTCTCCACAATTGTGGATCTGGGTTGACAAAGCATGGAACAATATCCTGAAACACAAGATGCTCTGCTTTGATGGGGCCACCCCGGTTTGGAACTGCGAGGACCGTTGCTTGCGCACCTGTCGCGGTTTGGCGCGGGTGCTGGATGAGCCCGTGGACGCCCTCTTCGCGCTGGAGAGGGGCATGCAGATGCACACGAAACGTCCGCTTTGGAGACTCCCCAAAGAGGGCCCGGGCCTATTTTTGGGCTTCATGTGAACCAGGGTGAGAGTTCTTGTGTTTTTCTCAAAATGCAGAACCGTCTGTTGGCTGCATTGTAAACACTGTCAACAGGAGCCCCAGCTGTTTGAGAATCCCTCATTTCGAGAAACTCCTTTTTGTACGGTTTGATTCGCACTTCTGTGATGCTGGGGTTTCCTTTACATGGGGACTTTGTTAAGAGGGAACATACATCTCTCTCTATCTCTCGCTCTCGCTCTGTGGGGTAGTATGTGGTCGTTTCCCACAACCCTGACTTATCCAGCTGGGTGAAAGTGGATGGCGCAATTCCCTCCTTGCGGAAAACGTCATCCCCTCTACCCACGTAAAGGGAATTGTTCCATCTCACCTGTGTAAGGCCTAGCTGTGCCCCAGTTCTGTGACCGACACACCAGATCAACGCCGATCAAAGTGAAAGCCTTGGCGCTGCCTTGCTATGTTTGGTTTACAGCCGTTGGGCGCAAGCCCAGTGGGTTCCCTGCAGACCCGACGGCAGCAGGCTGAGCGCGCAAGGGGTTGGAGCAGGTTTGAGGGATACACACTGAGCCATGCAACGGGAACTCCAGATGAATCAACCCGTGGTTGAGGGGGCAGTCCAGTTTTAGTTGGGGTTCATCAATGTCGGAGGAGAACACCCCCCTAATACTGTGGATGGACGAAATCCTGCACCACGAAAGCAACCCTGGAATGATGTTTCCTCTGTTCTCACCCATTAACAACGGTTTCAACCATTTCAAAGTGGGGCGAAATGGATTTCGTCCATTTGTTGGATGGGTTGATTGATCCGGTCCGCATGGGCCTCATGGATCTGGTTCAGTTTCATGAAAGGAGAGGCTGGGGGCGCCCTACCGCAACATCCGGGGCACAGACGTAGGCAGGGGATGGGGTGTGTTTGTCCCATGGGCGGCCTTTGCCACCCCTTGGGCCATTTGTCCTTTTCACGAAAGCTAGCTTTAGCTAGCTGAAGTTTCTCCTTGCGTAAGCAAGGTAAGGGGCTCAAATGCCGAAAGATTGATTTTTTCAATTATTTGAGCCGAAAAGATTGAAAAACATCAATTATTTAGACCCCCCCCCCTCCCCCCCTCCCCCCCGGGTCTCAGGCTCGATTCCTCCCTGGTCCATTCAAGGTTTGCCACGCCACCATGTGCGTTTGCGTGTCGCATCCTACGAATCTTGCCGGGCCTCTCGTTGTACACAAGCTACCTATGACTCCACTCTGTCACCGACCCATCTCATGCAACAACTGCTAGCTTTCGTTCACCCGCTCCTCAAGTGATATACCTCCCACCTTTTTTGCATGGAGCCTGACAGGAACCCTAAACCCTTTCAAAGGATAATGGTCCAAACCAGGACCGATTTTCACGAAAGCTAGCTTTAGCTAGCTGAAGTTTCTCCTTGCGTAAGCAAGGTAAGGGGCTCAAATGCCGAAAGATTGATTTTTTCAATTATTTGAGCCGAAAAGATTGAAAAACATCAATTATTTAGACCCCCCCCCCCCCTCCCACCCCCCTGGTCCATCCCCCCCCCCCCGGGCAGTGGCTCAGTGTTCAGCAGTCTCGGTTTGCCCGTTTTGGACTTGGTGCTACGAACTTTTACATGTTCCGCCGATGCAGCTTGTTCATTTGAGACCTCAGTCTTCTCGGTAAACCACCTCGCAAGAATCTTTGCACACGCTGCATGCAGAACCCAGAGGTGCTTTAAGACAGCTTCTGACGCCTCTCGTTGCTTTCATTTTTCAAGGTTTGCCACGCCACCATGTGCGTTTGCGTGTCGCATCCTACGAATCTTGCCTGGCCTCTCGTTGTACACAAGCTACCTATGAATCCACTCTGTCACCGACCCATCCCATGCAACAACTGCTAGCTTTCGTTCACCCGCTCCTCAAGTCCGAACGTCGAACGGTTCCTTGTTAATCGGTGTGAGGGCAACTCAGTGCAAGTGCTTCACCCGAGGCCTGATGCCTTGATTCCTGGCTTGACGCCTCATATTTGGAACTCAGATGCCAACTCGGCGTTTCCAGCCCGGGACCCTTTTTGGGGTTTTGAGAAACTAGAGATGCTGGGGCCCGGTCACCGGTATGTGGGGTGGTAGTGGAGCCAAGAACCACATGGATAGGTCCCTAAGTTTGAGACAGACTCTCTCGCCTTGTCTCACAACGTATCACACAAATCGGGGAAAGTCCATTCGTTTGAACCGTATGGCGCGCGTTTTGGGGGGGTGTCCAAAAGGAACTCACTGGCTATGGCTTCCTTTCTGAGGGATTCTCCCATTTCAGGTTGGTTCATACCCTCGGACGGACAGACTTGTTGTGTCCCTTCCGAATTCCTTGAGGTGCAACTGCCAGCAGATGTTTTCAACTGTTTCCTTTGGCTTTCTTTCGTCAGGGGCATGTCATCAGGCCTGGCTGGCCTGCGACGGCTTTTGCAATTCCGGGGGTCTCGGGGCATTGGCGCGCACCGATCGCAGCCGCACAAGGGGATATACTTTCAAGAGAAACAAGAGCATGAGAGGATGAAGCTCCTTCAGATACAAAGGTGTTTCGTTCTTCCCTTGTTTTTTGCCTCGTCGAACCACCACGATTTACTCAACTCGTAATAGAAGAACCAGATGAGCGCCCCTGGTTGGTCAACATGTGCTATTTCCACTTGGGGGCGGAGTGCTTCCGATTTGTGGATGCTTTTGGTCACAGAGATGTTCCTAAGAAAGCCACAGAGATGTTCCTAAGCCGCAGGCCACGTGACCGAGCCCATTGATTGCCTCTTCCCGCTCATAGAGGACGGGCAGTGAAGTGGCAAAGAGGGTTTCAGGCGGGTTTCCTTCCCTCTGTATGCGTTTCCATTTAAAGCTCGGCCAACAAAGCGCCAGCTCGTTTTCCTCAAAACCACTGGGCGAGAAAGTGCTTGCACCAAGGGGGAGCGTTACTACTTGCAACTGGGAAGGGCAAGCTTATTTCTCCGCAAAGGAGCTTCCTTTGCTACAAGCAATAGGCACGCTTTTCGTTGACCTAGTCTGTGTTAGCTGGTAGCTTGGCTGGTAGCTTGGCTGGCTTGGCTGGTAGCTTAGCTTGTAGCTTGGCCCGCTGGTTGCTTGTTTGCTGGCTGCCGCGGTCCGAGAATAATTTGTGGCCTCCGGCAGCACTTGCCGCACTTGGAACCAAGGCCCTTGGGGCCAAGAAGTTTGTACCTCAAAGCAGGGGAAGCCCCAAAAACATGTTTTTGGTTACTGCTTTCAACATGTGTGTGTGTGTGTGTTAATCTGGGGGACATTTGTTCCTTTGGTTAGCCCTTAAAACCACCTCAAAACGCAAACAAACACACACGCACACACAAGCACAGACAGAGACAGAGACACAGACAGACACAGACACAACACATGAAAAGGAGTCGAAACAAGTGTTAGCTAAGATTTCTCTACCCGCAACACACAAGACACAGAACACAAGACACGGACACAGACACAGACACAGTCCCCAACCCACACCCGCCTGCCTGCCCGCCTCCCCGCACCCACATCCACCCCCACACACACACACACACACACACACACACACACACACACACACACACACACACACACACACACACACACACACACACACACACACACACACACACACACACACACACACACACACACACACACACACACACACACACACACACACACACACACACACACACACACACACACACACACACACACACACACACACACACACACACACACACACACACACACACACACACACACACACACACACACACACACACACACACACACACACACACACACACACACACACACACACACACACACACACACACACACACACACACACCCACACCGGCACCCACCAACCAACCAGCCCAAGGGCTTCTTGCAATCCTTTCAGGCGCCACACGCCAAGCCATTCGAGCAGCTCGGCGGAGAATTCGGGTGTCACGCGACCGACTTCCCACCAGCTTTGCCGTTTTGAGGAATTTACCCCCTCAACACTCCTCTATGTTTTCCTCTAGGGGAAACCCTATTCCCAAAACCCGGAACGGTCATTCCCTACCTATCGCACGAGCAAGTTTGTCAGGGGAAAGTGAACTGCATCAACTACGCACACCCAGCACTCACGGGGAAGTGTGCTTTCGTCGCCAAACCTGAGGATGGGAATGAGTCAAAATGAAGGGTCCCATGCAAGCAGTTTGTTTCCTGTTTGTTTCGTGTTCGCATCCAAAAAGCTACCCTCTCCAATGACCTCAAATAGTTTTGTTCAGTCCAGCCCCTGCTAGCAGGGTTCTGGTGCTTGGATGCTCTTTGGTCGGACATGTCGAACCTTGAACCTTTGCACTTTTCGGCAAGATGCTCGCTTTACCACCAACCAACAAAGACTTATTCACTCGTGAAGTTGCGGACCTTTCTGGAGGCAAAAAGGGATGGCATTTGCCCCAACTGAGGGACTGGTCCTGTCGAAAAGCGAAGAGCGACCTCGGGTGTCTCCTGTTCGAATTTGAGCCCTTGCGCGTTTCCAAAGGTCAGGTCGACATATGTAGTCCAAGATCTATTCCAGAGAGCCGGAGCCTAGGCCCACCCAATTTTCCCATGTGAGGTCAAATTGCGACCGACCGCGGGTTGGGTTGTGTCTTGCGCCTTTTGCGGGTCCTCCATGTTTTTCAAGTCACCTTTTTGAAGATTTGGGACCCCTGCAGATGGCGTCGTTTTGCTTTCCCTCAAACCCATCCAAGGAAAAAGGGCTACTTTGAGAAGCATTTTTGTGTGTCAAAATCGGCATTTGGGCCCCCAAAATCCCAACATGGCTTTGGTGCTCCCGTTTGCTTTCACGAAGAGGGATCCCAAAACCCCAACCCGGGTAGCCTCCAGGTGTTGTTTTTTATTTTTTATTTTTTTTCTCGGACGCCACGCGTCCGCGCCAGGCTCCCGTTGCACGCCCTGCGCCGCCTGGCGCGGGTGGCGGAGGACGTTATCACCGTGGCGGTGGGCGACGGCGGCAATGAGGCGGCCGGTGGCATGGGGCGGCTTGGTGCCGGAGGGGCAAGTAACGTGAAACCGTTCGACGTTCGGGAGGTACTGGTTTGGACCAGTTTCCTTTCAAAGGGACCGGGTCTTTGTGAGGTCCCGTGTTGGTGGGCAATGGGAGCCCCAGATCGCAGAAGGTTTGGTTTGATTTTGATTGCGGGGGGTGTTCCCTTTGAATGGGAATCCCCATCGTTTTCATTTGTGGAGGGGAAAACCCCCTAAAAGATAGGAGGTGACGATGATAGGGCGACCAGGACCAGACAGAAGGGCAAGGAAATACAGCAACCTAAACAAACAAACGTAAGAACAACCATCATGACCTTTCAACCATAAACTTATGAGTGTTTGCCCCTCGTTTGCTGGGTGCCTGTCCGCATAGCTGTTAAATGTCGGCCGCCTGTTGAGGGTTCCCATGTGCAAAATATCTATGCCAGCAATATGCCAGTGGTAGGCTTCAGGGCTCCAAACAGTCACCTTAATATTGAGTTTCAGCCCCCAGACCAGCTGCTCAGAAAGCAGCTGCTGGCAGGTTTCCAGTTTCCAGGTTCTGGGCCTTCAAATTCAGGACCTCCAGGGCCTGGTTTGTCGTATTTTACTTTTAGCCGACCCGAAGTGGGGTTCAATCCCTTACCAATTTGTGATTCGCGGTGACTAGCTTGAGTCATGTTCGCGTGGCGCCCACAACATGACGCTGGCAGCATGAAAGGGGCAACTGAGCCCCCCATTTGTGGGTGCTTTCAGGTGAGCTTGGGGCGGGAACCGCGCCGGACACCGGTCCCAGCTCAGAACCGCAGGTGGGCATGGGCAAGGTGGCCAACTTGCCAGGCGGGAGCTGGGGGCGAGTGTGCCCTCCAAGTCCTCAGCTGAATTTCCCTGAAGGAACCCTTCGACCTTCGGGGAATCGGTTAAAGGCTTTGGACCATTTTCCGTAGGGATCGGAAGTCCGGGTTCCATGGGTAAGGTGGGCCAGGTTCGCTTCGCCGGTTCCAGCGAGGCCGAAGCTGGGCAAGCGAGATCCGGCTTTTTCAGCCTGGGATCGAGCCACTTTCGTAGCCTTGAGAGGGCGCCGGGCCTGGGATCGAGCGTCGCACACAGGTGGAAAGGCGTGCTGTGGATCAAATCCTGCACCAGCTGGGGGGTCCATGGTTTGAAGGTCACCTTTTTGGGCCATTTCGAGTGAGCTTTTCCTGGAGAACTCTGGGTGTGTATCCCAGTTCTACTTGAGTGCCCGCGCGTGTTCAAATGTCCCAGGTCGGCTTTGTCAGGTCCTGGCCGTTTTGGCCTTGTTTCAGCGACGGCCAGTTGTAGCCAGCGCCCGAAAGTGCTAAGCTTTGAGGTCCTTTTGCTGAGAACCGCGCGGGCCCCGAGGGTTTCGCACTTGACAACTCGCCCCCTTCGTTTCTGGAGAATTTGGCCGGCCCGAAGCTGTAAGCTACGGTTTTCACCCGGGTTCACAAGTGCGAATCTAACTCTTTGGGTGGTCAACAGGCAGTTGAACAGTTGCAGCGGTTTTCAATTCAAACTAGAAAGCCACAGGCAGACGGAAGTGTTGTCTTGGTCTCATGAAGACCGTATAAGTCGGACTCGGAGGGAAGGCCATTAATTCTTAGTTATCACAAACATGGCCTCATTTTCCACAACCATGCCCAACTTCTACCCTAGCAGATAAAATGGGCAGACGCCAGCCTCCAAACCACCAAACCACAAGCTGGACCGCTTTTTTCTCCCCCACAACCATGGTTCTAAGAGGGTACCCCTGTGGTACAACTGCTATATACTCGTCACTCTCATGCGGTTTGGGGCGGGGGGGAAGGGAGCGGGGGAGTGGACGCCCTCTTAGAATGGCGGCTTCCAAGGTTTGGCCTCGTCTTTCGCAGGGCCCCAGTTCCAAGTGGTGGCGGTGGCGGTAGCGCCCGAACTCCGCAGGCTGCCGGGAGCTGGCGCCGGAGGGCCCGGAGGGCTTCGCGTCTCTGGCGGTGAATGGCTGCGTGCGGAGCTGCGATTTTCTGGTGCTGGGCACGGTCAGCAACTGGGCAGGCGAGGCGAAGGAGGAGATAACGGGAGCACTGTGGCGTGGTGGGTGGGTGGGGTGGTGTAGGTGGGGTGGGGTGTGGGGTTGGAGTGGGGGTGGGGTTGGGGCGGGGCGGGCAGTCACAGTCTCTTGCAACAAGTTGCGGACTTTTGGGGACCACTTCAAAGGGAGCCACTCCGTGGAATGGGGAGTTGAACGCAGCCCTTTGCTTGCTGCGAGCCAGGGGATCGGATTTGGTGGGTGATCAAGTCATGGGGATTTTTCACTTTGGGTCATTTTGCCACGCCACAAAAAGGGCCAGTTCCCGGGTTTGGGGAAGGCCGGGCCGGGCCTGGGGGGGGGGGGGGGCAAAAAGGTGTTGCAGGAGATACCCACCCCCCATGAAAACAATGGCAAGCATCCCATCGGAATCCCCTCCCCCCCCCCCCGCCTTTGTTGGAACCCCTGCAACTTTCCCTACATGTCCCTTTTCCGGCCGCATTACTTTTTGGTTGCCACTTTACGAGCCGCCTGGAGTGATGCAGGCATAATGCTGACCCCATATTAATCAACCCCAGTGTATTAATAATTAACAGGGGGCGTCCCTGGATTTAGCGGGGAGTTATCACTTTTGGAGGGAAACACCCCCCCCAATAATAAAGAGACCGTTTTTTTTTTTACAAAACACTAAAGCTAGTGGTGTTTTTTTCGGCCCCGGCGAGATGGGGGACCATGGGGCCATGGGACCTGCGCCAGGTTCAGCCTTCGAGGCTGCGTGCCACGTGCTCTGGGTCCCCGAGTCGCCCTACGTGGCAGGCGCAGGTTTTCGGGCTTTCCGTCCTCGCGCCCAAAGGAAACCCGGCGCTTGGAGGCTCTGGGCGCGAAATAGCCAAAGGAAACCAAAAGGGGATGGGCCACTTGTAAGTTTTCCAGACCGCCTGTTTAACACCCCAGCTTTGATATTGGTCACCCCTGATGAGCAAAGGCCCCGGACGAGCCCCCCAAAACTGAGATTTTGGAGGACCCTGGTTCATCTGGAGCCCTTAGCTCCTTGTCCTTTTACTTCTGGGCCCTTTTCAGGAAACAACCTGGAGAGCCCCTGCTGTCCTTCTTGGCATCTTCTGGGCAGTAGGATTTCAATTGGCCACCACCAGGTCTTTGCGTTGAACCCGCTTTGGGCTGTTAATGCGGGGGGCTGGCCTCTAAGCAGACGACAACCTTGCCATGTTAAACAAACGTTTGCCTTTTGGGGGAGCACACCTTTGGGGGAACCGTGAGGGGTTTAATATATCAGCGCAGACGAAGCAAATGTGAAGCAAACAAGAAAGCTCCTTCTTTGGCAGGTGTTTTGGGTTGGCTTTTTTCGGCAAACCTTCTTGACCCTTCTTTTGGAAAACGGGGAAACCGTTATGGGAGGGGTTCACGAATCGTGCACTGACATGAGAGCAATCCGATGCGAACGAATGTGCCATGTTGCTCTCTCCGAGGACTTGAGGGGGCTTCAAAGCCTTTGGCCACGGCTTGCGCGTGTCTCTTGTTTTTTTCCCCCCGCCCGCGGTTTCCCAGCGAGAGACAAAACTCCACCCGAGCGACGGCCCATGACTCCTTCGGCTTGATCCCGACCCCTTGGGCTGATCCCGACCCCTTGGGCTGATCCGATTGATCCATAGCACGATCTGGGCCCAGTGGGGGAAAAGGGGCTGAGCAGTTGTTGACTCCCCGCAGGACAGGGGTAAAAAAACCAATGGGGTGCCTAAAAGCCTGCGCTGAAGTGGTGGACACCAAAAGGAAACACCCGGGACTTTGGTGGGTCCCCCGAAAAAGGAAGCACACCCAGGTGTCCTCAATGGGGATTCCTTGTTCAACTAGTGATTCGTCCAGAGGCAAGCTTTTTCTACTTTCTGACTTAGGCAGACACACATGCGAGCTTATTTGCAGCGGTCTGTCTGGAAGAATTGCTTTGTGGAAGACCCAACTCACGCTCTCAAACAGTGTGGTACATGTCAGTTGGCTTCCTTTTTGGACAGATCTTCGGCAACGTGCTGAACGTCGATACCAGGTTCCCAGGAAGTTCCGCAAACCTCGCAAGACCCCACTGGGGCTGGGGTTGGGGCTTCCCATACTCCCGCCCTTTTCCTAGCTTAAGACATCACCTGGCTGTTGCCAATCAAATGTAAAGTTTGCTTGTGTTCTGATACGTGGGCATATAGGCAACCCTGGTTTCATCTTTATCTACCCAAGTTGCTACCCTTCCACGAACCTGGGAAGACCGGTCTGGGCCCAACCCCAGTTGTTACCCTTCCACGAACCTTGGAAGACCGTTGTTACGCTTCCACAAACCTTGGAAGACCGGTCTGGGAGGCAACCCCAGTTGTTACCCTTCCACGATTTTTGGAAGACCGGGACTGCTTCTGAGCCGTTTCCAAGGAGCAACGTCTCCCGTGGGTTGTGTGGGTCGGAGGTTGATCGACCGCTAGGCGGACCATTGAGCGCTTTGGAGGAGAAGTTGCTGCGGGCCGTGATGGCAGCTCGGCCGCGGATTTGTTCTTAGCCTGCCTCATGTGACAGGGCTCCTTAAAAGACATTCATTTTGCCACCATTTGAAAAACATGTGGCTTACAAATGTTGCACCCATTTGAAAAACATGTGGCTTACAATTTTGCCACCATTTGCAAAACATGTGGCTTTTCCAACAAAGGGTAACCACCAGAAAACAAGGCAATGTTCAGGTGTATAATGTAAGGATCCCTTTATTAGGCAAAAGGGTGCGTCATAACATAGTTGATGAGCTCTTCATGAAACCATGCTGGATTTGTTGGAGAGTTAAGGGGCGAATGGCTGCAACGAAGGGCCTTTTTAAGGATGATCTCGTTACTTTCCTTTGGAATCACGGGGCTAAAGGGTGCAAGGCGACCTTTTTTTGGGCGGGGAGTTCATGCATTTCCATGGTGAAAGGGTGAGTTGAGCATCGGTTGAGGACGTGAGGGTACGAACTCTGCGTTTGGAAGTGTCTGAGGGACATGTGATCTCAAGCAGCCAGCTTCACATGGGTCAAAAGCCCTACCCCAAATGCACATCCCAATCCCCACTAAAATAGACTAAAATGAGTGGTGCACCCACCCCACAATGGTACCATTGGTTTTGACCCACAGCCATTTGTCACTGGAGCTGATGTGGGCAGAGTACTCATGTCTTCGGTTTCCACTTGTGTGCCAGACATGTTTGATGACAGGCGAATCTGCAGTGTTGTCCAGACCAACGCATTTGCGGTCATCGAAAGTTTTTCCGGGAGCCCACAGCCCCGCGTTTGACCCTTCTGGATGCCGAAAGGGAGATCCGTTCTTCCAACGAATCGCAATTTTAAGTTTCCCCAGGTACGTGGGCGAAAAAGTCAGTCCGCTTTTTTGGGGATTGCTGGTCAGAAACCCCAAGATCCATTTGTCAGGCAACTCAAAACCCCCATGTGTTCTCCTGCCCAACATCGTTTCTTCCATGACCAAGTTGTGTTGCCATGGTCAGAACCAACTCTCAACTCCTTTACGGCGTATTCGCCATGATGTTTTTTGTTGTTCCTTGGCTTTGCATTGGCGCTTGGGTACAGCGAAACCAATCGGACACCTACCATTGGTCTCACTATTGGAAACCCAGCAAGTGGGTGGGGAAACCTAAGGGCCCCATTTCTTCTACTTGCTGGTGCTCAGTAAAAAATGACCTTTCGGGTTTTGGGAATGAGGCTAGGGTTTCTCTGGAAGGGAACCATAAGGGCCTATCGAGCCAGCAAGCTTTACTTCCCCGTTTCAAGCATCCCCTTCTCCAGGGAAATATGGCAGTGGGTCAACACCACTGGCACCATTTTGGGGTGCACCACACTTAGTGGGGATTGGGATGTTCACTGGGAGTACGGGCTTTTGACCCATGGCCATATCGGAGTTTTTGCAGGCGCCGCCGGAGCTGTCGGTAGACGGGAAGTGCCCAGAGAAGGATTGGGCGGGAGTGGTGAGTTACACGCGTGGGAGGTGCAAAAAGGTCAATCGGAGCCTCTAATTGAAGCAACCAGCCAACCAAAAAGTCGGGGGGGGGGTCTGTTTGTTGGAGCCTCCAAGGTTTTCAATCAATTCCACCCTTTTTCCTTCGGGGTTCACTGACCCAAAGGAGGGTTCCCTGAGCTGAGGGTTGGGTGGGTTAAAGGGCGGTTAGATGGCCTTTATGTTTGTTTTGAGTCTCCTTGCGTCATCTGCAGCAGCCCTCAAAGAGAGCTTTGTTACAGGGTCGAGCCGCATCTGCCTCCCATCGCAGGTGCCAACCCGTTGGGTGGCATCTGAGGGTAAACCTCGAACAAGGAGTACAGTAGATAGCGAGAGCAAGTGAGAGGCAATGCAAGTAAGGCCCAAATTTCATGTTTCTGATGAAGGGCTATTTGGGAATCCTTGGGTTTTCCTGTGCCAGAGACAGCCAGAATTGAGCCTCAACCGATTTCTTCGTGTCTCTCTCTCTCTCTCCCTCTCCCTCTGTATATTCTGTATCAAATAGCACATGAATGCAATGACATGAGACGTGAACATATACCAATCACAACCGCGCATGGGATTGAGGGGTTTTGCCACTTCTCGTTTCCGATCTTTGCAGCAGAAATAGATGCAAAGGATACTAGACAGAGACGCCAGGAGAATCGCTTTGCTTCTTCACATCCTACCTCTCTCGACCATGCCACTTTTCACTTCCGGACAGCTCTGAGAAGAAATCGGACATCATGAATACAAGACGTGTAGTCTAACCATTCCTTCTCGAACCCTTCCCCTGCTCCGCGTGGCGGGACGTGTGAGAGATGGAAAAGGAATGGTCCATTGTCTCCCTCTCCACCCTTCCCCCCAATTTACTAACCGCCACCGCGTGATAGAACAAAACAGTTCTACTGCAAATCTATCATCCACTGTTAACGGATGCGGGCGAGGTTGGCTCAATTTTAGAGGGCACGTCGATGTGTCAACATGAGGGAGATGTTCAGGTTAACTTTCGGACGGTGTGGGCTAGTTTGGGAGCAGCTGGGGTTGGAAAGCAAACCAGGAAGGTTGCTTATTTTGTGACATTCACAAAATTACAGTATTGCGGATGGTCCTGATGGATCTACTTGCAGATGGACAATTGACGACTTGTGTTCGGGAAGGCTAGTCGGCATGGTGGGTTTGTCACTTCCCGATTTTGGTCTTTTTGGCAGACATAGGCAGGCCATTGTGCATCCAAACGAAGGAACAAGTTTTTTAACTGGCTCTTTGTGAGTCACAGGGTCCCATTTCATGGTCCGAGATAGACTTCCAAACACCAGCCAGGGTTTCATCCTTGGGGCTTGCTGAACTTTCGCGCGTCTCCATGAAGGGCCAACAGGATTTATCCGCGCCCAAAGTCCCAGAAGGGCCATGTTAGCGATATTCCTACCTGGTTTAGCAAGGTACGGCAAGGGCCAAAAAAACATGGTTGTTGTTGGGACACATTTTACATTTCTGCTTATATGGTGGTTTAGTGGGAGATCCCCCACTTAACTGCTGATTTTTGTTTTCTCCCCTTCCAACATCAACCAAGTACAAACCGGCATGTCCCGGACCTAGGTCCGGGAGTTTCTTCGGGCCGAAAAACGGGCGATGCTTTCGCCAGGAGCTTTCGGTGGATGGCATGAGCTTCGAGCCCCATCACAGGCGATGGTATCGGCCACCGATTCGTGTTTTGACGCCAAACCACCGCCGCCGGAATGAAAAACCGGGGTACTCTCTTTTCAGTGGCTGGTTTTCCGACAGCACACACTGGTTCGCCGGTACTTGGCTTCTTTTATCTGAAGCTTTTACTGGCTGGTGGTTGTCTCATTGAACTTCTAATTCGTGGTGTGGGGGTGGAGCCGGGGGGTTGCTGCAGCACATTTTTGGTCTGTCTTTGTTTGAGAGTATCCTTTTTGGGGTTGTTTCATTGGGACGGCAAGAGAAAACCAATCATTTTGGGCGCCCCTTGTTTGGAGACACACGCACACATATAAATAGCTGGCTTTCTATTTGATGTCCGTTGAACAAAACTTCCAAAATGGCAGCAACAACCGATTCAGATGCGCCCATAGGTCGAAACTAGTACACCAGAGCCTCAACAAGAGTACAGTTGGGAAAAAGCAGATGGCACAACCTCCCCATTTAACTTTCATTCTCCCCTTTACACCTTGCATCCTGGAGCACTTTTCCATCGATGGCCCCGGGTCACTCGGCCAGGGAGTTCTACGAGTACCTTTGGCAGCTGGCGGAGGAGCCAAAAGAGCCCGACTCGAAGATGCCGCGCACGTCGTAGGATGCCGGCGGCCTCAAAAAAGGAAGGCTTGTGAGCGGCTGGCGGCACGGACTTTCACCGCGAAGAAGGGCTGGTGGCTGGCTGAAACCTGTGTTTGGTTACAAGGGAAAAGGTGAGTAGCAGGTGCTTCTGAGTTGGAGGGGGGTAGGTTGGCTAGTATTGAGAGATGGTATTTACTTTCAAACCTGGCAACAAGCAAGGCTCTAACGTCTTGCGACCGATTCGTCTGCGGCAAAAGGCAAGACAGATGTGTGTGGCTTTGCTTATCAGCCTATCTCGTACAAGCTCATTTAACGTCTACCCCACCAAGTTTGAGCATGACACTGTATCATGGGCCCACCAGTAGAATCTGCTTTTACAACTAGTTCCTGATCAATTGGTCGATGGCAACCTCTCTCATTTTTCTGTCATGCTTTTCTTCTGTGTCTATTCAGTCTTTTTCTTCCTTTGTTTCTTCCTTTTAGATCGTGCCTATTTCCTTTCTTCCCATTCTTTGATGTTTCCTTTTTCAGTTAGTGTATCGTCTTGTCTTTTCTTCCTGCTTTTATTTTCCTTATTGGTTTCTTCCGTCTTTCTTCCTTCCTTCCTTCCTTTCTTCTTTCCTTCCTTCCTTCCTTTCTTTCTTTCTTTCTTTCTTTCTTTCTTTCTTCCTTTTTTCTTGCTATCTTTCTTTCTTTCTTTCTTTCTTTCTTTCCCTATCTATCTTTCTGTTTCGGTCTTTCCTTATTTCTTTCTTGATATTGTTTATTTCTATTATTTCTCTTTTTTCTTCAGGGCTCCTTAGAAAGTACATTTTGCCCATTTAAGACATGGCTTTTTCCACCAACATAAGGGGAAACCACCATTTACAAGACAATGTTCAGGTGTATAATGTAAGGATCCCTGTTCTTGTTTTCTGCCTTTCTGTCTTTCTTTATTTCTTCCTTGATATTAATTGTTTCTATTAATTCTCTCTTTCTGTCTTTCTGCCTTCCTTCCTTCCTTCCTTTCTTCCTTCATTTAGTCCTTCTGCCTTCCTGTGTCCATCTACCTAGTTGTTTTTGTTTATTTATATATATATATATACATATGGTTTTCAATACATATGTGTGTATATATATATGTATACATGTATGCTTATTTCATTTATGTTGATTGTTTGTCTAATGGTGTTTATTCATTTTATGTGTACGTCTTTTTTTTGTGCATTTGCCGTTGTTTTAGATAACAAGAAACATCTGTCTACTTTTCCTTCTCATTCTCTCGTGATTGTTCCATCCTTGAGTGGCGAGTGCTAAAACCAGAGCGCGGGATTCCTGTTCTCACCATGGGCTTTACATGACTCCTTCGAATACTTCAGGCAAAGTCTACGTCCGCAGCTTGACTTTACAGCTGACTCCAAGAGAGTGCGACATTGGCAGGGGACCTGGCTCGGAGATTGCGATCGCCTCCAGCTTCTCAGTAGGTGTCTCAAAGCTGTGTGCCTCTTTTTTTTGAGAGGCCCGTCGGTCAGCTGAGTACGCACTTTCAGCCAGGTCACATTCAGGCACTCCAATTCGACCTTTGGCAAATGCCCCCGGCGGGAGCGCCGTCGCGATTGCTATGGGCAGCTCCATCTCCGAGCTCTCATCCAGCTGCTGCGGGCGACACAAGCCGGAGGACTCCTCAGAGGACTCGACGGGCTTGGCGCCTTGGCAGGGCTGGTCATTTTTTTCTTTCTTTCTCTACATGCACTCTACATGTAAGCGCTTTTTCCCCCCCGACCTTTTTTCTCTCGCCACGAAAAGCTCCAGCCTGGAACGAGGCCGGGGTCCCGGTGAACGCCTTGAGCGACTTCGCGCACCACGCGGTGCTGGGCGGGCACCTGGAGGTGCTCCAGCCCAACGTGGGCGTGGAGGTCCGGGCCCTGCGGCGAGGCGCGCGGAGCGGCGGCGGGTGCACGGAGCGAGGGATGGGTTGGGCGCCGGTGCGGTCGTCCGCGTCCTGAGAAGAGGAGCTTTTGACCGAGTCCGAGTCTGGTTTAGCCCACTCTGATGTACAAGTGAATAGGTTGATCTTGGTTTGCTGTCTTGGCTTGCCTTTAATTTGGGGAACCGCACAATGAGTGGTTTCCCTTTGGTTACCTCTTAAGCAGCCTCACAAAAATGTAGCTATCAAGGCCTCCAGTCCTCCGACAAACCTGTCGCAGGGCGGATTTGCCCCGTGCCGGCCGGGGTCATTTTGAAAGCCTCCGCTGGCGGAGAGCGGGCCTTCTACGAATCGGGCCTTGCCCTGCCCATGGTGCCCCGCTATTACGGTGTGGCGGCGGTGGCCGACGGGGAGCGTGTCAAGGCCGGGGGAGTTGAACAGAGTCACAAAAGGTAATTCCCACTTTCCGTTTGGTGTTTGAAAAAAAGTCGCAAGCAAACAAAATGCCGGCGCGGCATTCTAGTCTCGAATCGTGGTTTGGAACGTCTGATTCGATATGTGGGGCGTTGAGACCGCAAGTGTTTGCCTTTGGAAGGATGCCCAGACGGGTTTCTGCGTGGTATTTGCAGGTTCCTCAGAAGACAGGGACAAAGGAATGATCATATACATACCATGCTGATTCATGATTGAGTACAATATAATGAACGCCCGAGGGAGGCACATGTCGAGATCCGCGGATCCGGATCTTTGCGGTCGCGTTGGCCGCGTGCCTTCACCGCACCCGCGGTGAGCACAGCGAGCGTGGGTGCTGCTCCGCTTACTTTTCGGAGGTGGCTCTCGTTTTCCTGTAAGAAACGGGGCTTCCGAAGTGCCCGTGTTTTGGGTTGCCAAGTCAGCCGAAAAAACACCTCGTGATGGACCCTGCTCCTGGCCACATGGTTATGCAGGTTGCTGGTTTTTGGGGTCGGATCGTTTTGCCGGTTATCTATATCAGCAAAGCCGCAAAAGGAATCTAACCACCTGGTCATCAAACCAACCTTTCAAAGCATCGAGGTTTCCCCATCCAGCTGGCTGAGGAATATTTGGTCCTCGAGCAGATTGGGCAATTCGCCAACCCGTTGGCTTTTGACTTGAAGCTCGGCTTCGTGCCGCGGCCGCATGCCGCTGCGCTGGGGATGTGAGCTTCTGGCCATGGAATTTTCCCGCTTTGGGATGGGTGTGATCAATTCCTTTCTTTGGTCTTGCTGGTGCAACTGCTTTTGATGCAATTGATCTAATCACATTTGGCTGTGGCCTAAAATTAAACAGGAGGGGTTACGCGGGTGTTGGTCCATGTTTCCACTTACAAAGGTTCCATTTTCAATCCGTTTTTGGAGCCACACCCATTTTTGTCCGGGGTGCATTTGGGCGTATCTGATGATCTCGTATGTTGCTTGGGAACCAACTGGTCCAACCACCGCGCGTTTGCTTTGTCGATGGCGCATGAAGCTTGGTGCTTCAGGGCATATGCTCCCCTTTTTCCCTGTTCACTTTTCCTTTTTATACACCACACACATTATGTATACATATATATATATATATGTATAGAAGAGGTATGTATTTATATATACACATGAGGGACATATATACATATATATATACATATATATACATACATACATATATACATATACACCCGCAGCCCCCTCACGGGTCCCTTGAGTAGTTTTGGGTGGTCCAGCCATGGGTGACGCCCTCCGCGAGGTGCAGCGGGCTGCGCACCACGAGGCCGCCAAGCGGCAGCGGATGCGGCGCAAGGCCTGCGAGACCACGAGCGGGTCTTTGGGCTTCCGGCACTGCGGCCTGTCCTACTGGGACGCTCGGCGAGCGCAAAAGGGCTCCCCCCTCCCCTCCCTGCCCCCCAGCCCCCATAATCTCCATGTGGGTGTGGGTCAAAATTAAGCCACCAGGAATTGGACCGCAGGTTTTAGTCCTTGGTTCCATGTACCAGGGTTCCAGCGCCAAAGCTAATCCATTTGCGACTCCGCTAGAAATTTTACCTGAATCTGTGCTGTCCATACAATCAATATTTTGAAGATGCCAAAATAAGCCCGAAAAACAAAACGGACGGACGGGGGGATGAGTTTGTCTCTAATGGACAGGGGGGGAGGGGGCGGGAGGCACCTTGAAACGGACGTCGGTTTCCTTTTGAGCGTCAAAGAGAAGACAACTACTCGGATAAACTGCCGATTTCCTGGTGTGGCTGAAGAAGGGCATGGAAGCCTCTGGGTCTTTTGCCCGTAGAAAAGGGCGTGGATACCTGTGGGTCGTGTTGAAGGCACGTGGAAATTAGGCTGTGGGTTGTTTACAAAGGACATGGTAAAATCAACCGGTGGTTCTTTTTGCTTTGACTCTTGTTTGCTCCAGCGTTATTGTTTGGCCTTGACATGTCTTTGGCAGTTTTACAGTCAACCACCAAGGAAAGGGTGCACTTGTTCCTTTCTTGGGAGGGGGAGCCCGCGTTTCAAATCGACTAGCACGCACATGCGCACCTCTTTTCCCACCATGGAGGTCTGAGTGGATATGAAGAAGCCCTACCCTTGGGAGGGGGGTGGGGGGGAGGGCATGTGGAGCCTGGGGCGAAACTGGGGGGCAGGTAAACCGGGGGGAAGAGGCGGGAAGCTCAAGCTACGTATGTGTATTGATGTATACTCATAGATGCATATGCCGAATGCGATGCTGCTCTCAATGTGAGATATACAACAAGTCTACATGATGCTTTGCCCTCAAGCAGCAAACCCACGTGTACAACACAAATCTTTGCTGGCAAAAGGAAGGGTAAGGAGGGCAGCTTGAGAATGCACAGGTCTTTGTGAGTATCCTTTTGGGAGCCTTTTGGATTTCAACAATGGTGCTATGCTGAAAGTCGGAGCCTCCTGACTTTCGAAGTTGGGATGTGCACTTGAGTTGACAGCACAGGGATCTGAAGGGCGCTTGGCCTGCTTGCCCCCTTGGGCAAAAAGTTCTCATGACCATGGGACCTCTCTTCGGGATGGTGCTGACAGGGTGCTCAAACAGGAAACCAACCATTGATCGTGGTGCCCTATGTTCGGTCACACACTGATGTTGACAGCGGGGCGGGATGGGCATTTGTGGCGTTCGGCGGGTTGACTTGTTGACTCGCCTCAGGCTGTTGAGGTATGCCGGTGTGGTGAGGTGGCCATAGTGAAGCGGTCGCCGGAGAGCAATTGGTTGAACCCGAACTTGTGAGCTTCTTTGTTACGTGAGGTTTGTTAAGACGCGCCCTGACCTGGAACATCATGATATCATGATCGTCCCACCAATCTGTTTGGGTTTAGACCATCCTCAGGCAGGCTGTGTTCCCACAAGGGGTCTAACAGACCTCGCCGCGTGCTTGGCAAATGGAAGCGATCTCACTCTCAGGACTGGAAGCACATGACCAAGGCAGGGCCAGCGAGCGGAAGTTCAGGATGACCTCGGGCAATTTGGGAAGCTTCGGCGCGTGTGTGTGTGTGTGTGTGTGGTGTGTGTGTGTGTGGTGTGTGTGTGTGTGTGTGTGTTGTGTCTCTGTCTCTGTCTCTGTCTCTTTCCCTGTGTCTGTGTCTGTGTGTGCGCGTGTGCTGCGTCCGTGCGTTTGTGTGTGTGTGTGTGAGTGTTTTCTGCGTCTATTTCTCTTCGTCCTGCATTCGCTTAACGACATTGTCCCTGCCGCTGAAGGGCAAGGGTCACAACTCGTAAATCTTCATTCTTTGACGATCAAGGAAATAGAAGCTGGTCTTGACCAAGGCGCTGGAAAACCTTGCTTCATGCCAACTAGGCAAGTGGCCGTTGTCTCGCTCGCCGGTGTGAGCCGGTGAGCCTGTCTTCTCGCTTCAGGCCAAGGAGGACAAGTATCAGGGCCAAAAGGCGGGGCGCCCGAAAGTGTCTTTCCGCAGCTTTTAACAGATCCAGATTGGTAATGTTGACCCCGGATTAATCAACCCCTGTTGGCCCCTGTTTACGAATGTTGGGGGTTTTCCCCTCCAGAAGTCATAAATCCCCACTAAACCCGCGCCCCCATGTTAATAAACAGGGGTTGCATAATATGGGGTCCATTGCCCTTTTCAGCGTGGCTGGGGAAAACCAAACACCATTGTGAAGGTTCCCGGATTTTTACACACAGACACACACGCACATCCAGGCCTATGTATGATACAACTACAGGCAAAACATAATGGTTCGATCACTCCCGCCCCGAGCAAGTGTCTTGTGTTCGAGCTTGGATAAAAGGGAGATGCACTTTGTCGTGCGCCCAGCACCTCCATGGCCATTGTAGGTGCCTGGTCTTACAGTGGTAAGAGCCGAAGAGGAGCTTCTCAACATGGTGGACAAACACCTGTTTTTGTATTTAAAAGGCCGCCGCCCATTTTAAGGAACCCTCTATTTTGCGAAGCACTCACACCTAGTTACACGAGGGATCCATCTTTTTTTGGGACGGCTTGTCCAAAGAACTGGGCGTTACCGGTATAGGGTATCAGCCATAAGGAGAGCCGTTGCACAGGCCCCCTTTCGTGAAGGAGGGTGGGAAGTCGTCTTCCAAAAGAGAAGCTGTTCACTTCCATGTTTGTTGGTGGGGAGGGTGTTCCGTTTCACATTCGAGTCCAACCAACGAGGGGTCACGTATTCCTGTGGTCGAATTACTGTCCAAGGACCCCTTTTCTTGGGGCTCATTCACCAAGCGAGGGGATATGTGACCATGGGTTCCTGGCACATCATATTGCTGGGTATTACCTTTGGGGCCAGGTTGTTTCCCTTGAAAAGACCATTTGGAGGGCAATATTTTGAGGATGGACTCATTGGCCTTGGCTCATTTTGGACATTGGCATCCTTTTTGAGGTGAAGTGTACTCAGATCCTCACCGCCTTGGCACGGTTCTTCAATCAGAGTCCCACGCAGCCGGGGGCCCTAAAACTGGTCCGGCTTGTCTTGCTGGTGCTCAGCAAGGAATGCCCCAGGGTGTTGGGAATGAACCTAGGGATTCCCTGAAAGGAAACCATAGGGATAGCTTTTTCGAGTCAACTCATTCCCTGCTGAGAGTTTCCTGTTGCTGGATTTGAACAGCACCGTTTAGGCCGATTTGAGGTGAGCTTCCTTGAAGCGTGATGTGTAGGACGCCCTTTCAATCAACCTCCATTCAGTTGCCCTTTTATGAGCAGCGGGGGCTGGTTGTTCAAATAATGTTTGCCCAACCCTGCAGGCTTCCCCAAGTTGGACAAATGCTGAGCCATTGGCAAGTATGGTCAAGATGCCTTTGAACTTAGCAGCTTTTCCGATTGCAGTACCGCTGGTCCCTGACCCTTCAGAGAGCAGCACGTAGACACACGCCCGAAAACGATGCGAGCAGTCTCGGAAAGCTGCAAGATGCATGCGCGGCGAGTGCCTTTCGAATGCATCTATAGATGTGATATGCTTTGATTAGATGCTCAACGTTTTGCTCCTTGGGCAGAGACCAAGAGTCTTTTGTCGCATGGTCTTGGGTTTGATATTATTTAATACCTCGTTCAAACTTTGATCTCCAAGCGTTGCACACTTCCCCGAGTACTTGGGTCAGACATGTTCGTTTGGGATATGGTTGTTTGGCAAACCGCCTAAACAATATTGAGGTTTTCGGGCCCCAGGCTGATATCCTCTCAGGAATCTGTTGAGGGGAGCCTTGGTTCACCGCACAGCTTCACATTGGCCCATGAGTCTCCCGCAAGACCCGCGCCTGTTGCCTTGAACCTCGAACACCTGAACTCACATTTCAGAGCTGCGGTCCGATTGGAAGTGGACAGGCTAAGAAATGGTTTTGGAATAACATGCTCCTGAAAAAAAAAACCTTCTCCACTTCGATGGTTGTTTTCCTCTTGGACAAATGGAAGGCGGTAGATCCACCTGGGAGCGGCTGCAAAGTTCGCACATTGAACTCATCGAGCAAAGTTGGACCCCGAGGACGTGGCCTCTGCAACGGCCCTGGCGTGCGATTGTGGAGCGGGCCATGAAGGAAGTGCAGACCATGCAAGGCTCGGGTTGCGGCTTTGTTTTTCAGGGAGAGTTTGGTGAATATATATATATATATACACATTTTAGAGCCTCCGGCTCAGTCCGCCGACATTGTCCTCTCCCTTTTCTCCTTCTTCCTCTCTCTCTTGCCTCCTCCCCCGTGTGTTCTGTCGCCCTCTCCCTCTGCTCCCCATCCTCCCCATCCCCCCAAGCCTCTCTCTCAATCTCCCTCTCTCTGTCTCTCTCTGTCTCTCTCTCTCTCTCTCTCTCTGTCTCTCTCGCTCTCTCTCTCTCTCTCTCTCTCTCTCTCTCTCTCTCTGTTTCTCTGCCTCTTTCTGTCTCCCTGTCTCCTTCCTGTCCACGCCCCTCTACAGAAAAAAGGGTACCATTATTCTAACCTCTCGTCTCTACTGGAAGACCTAGTCTCTCTCTCTCTCTCTCTCTCTCTTTCTCGCTCTTTCTCTTTGTCTCTCTCTCTCTCTCTGTCTTTCTGTGTCTCTCTCTCGCTCTCTCTCTCTCTCTCTCTTTCTCGCTCTCTGTGTGTCTCTCTCTCTCTCTCCCTCTCTCTCTCTCTCCCGCTCTCTCCCTCTCTCTCTCTCTCTGCATTGCAGCGTCACGTCCCCCCTGAGTTGCCTCGATGTCCGGGCACTGCCCCTTCATGACCGAACTGTCTGCTTACTACCGGCTTTCCTCCTGATTTCCCCTTCATGTCCTTTTCACGTTTCCCATGATGTCCTGGTCATGTCCCTTCCATTCCTTTCAACTCCCCCTTCATGTCCCTGTCATTTTCTCGGTATGTCCGCTTCATTTTCCATGTATGTCCCGTTCTTTCGTTGCCAGTCATTTCCCTACATCTCCCGTCGTGCCGATTGGTTTCCTTGTCCTTTGTTTCCCTTTCATTCCCCCTGCGCTCCCCTTTTTTCATTTCTGTCCCCTTTATGTCCCTTTCAGTTCCCTTTTGTTTCCCTTTCATTTCCCCTTGCTTTCCTGTCATGTCGACTTCCTATTTCCTCCCCTCATTTCCTTGCTTTCCCCCTTTGCTCCCCAGTATTCCCCGCAAAAAAAAACGCGGTTTTTCCAGCGTTTTCGCAAAGATGACGTCAAAACAACGCAGAGTTTTTCCAGATTTTCGGCAAAAGGAGGCAGGAAACCCAAACCAGCAAAGAGCCGGCAGGGGGATTCAAGCCTGGGACCCCTGTTTTGCGACACTGGCTCCCCGAAGGCTACGTTTAGTGGAATGTCATCCGCGCGGTACGTGCCCCCCCCAAACCCGACGTATCAGACGTCGGGCGGGGGTTTAGGGGGGGGGTTATCCTCTATCCTCTCTTAGGTATCCGACACGCCTCCGCAATGTCGGCGGACAGTGTATATATATATATATGTGTGTGTGTGTGTGTGCAAGCTGGGCATTTCCGGACCGTTGGTGAAATGAGTGCAGGATGAATGATTCGGAGGGGTCGATTCATTCCGGCTTTTCGGCGCACGATTTTTGAGGTTTTTAATTAAGGGCCTTGGCCTTGGGGGTGGGGGCTTGGATTGAAAGGCAACGTAATGTTGAGACCCCGGCAATGTTCACTTTGAGTAATGGACGCAGCAATGGGCATGCGTGATGGCTGTCCCATGTCCGGGATTCCCTGTGAATGAGCCCCAAGAAACGTGGTCTTTGACCACAGGAATGCGGCACGCCCTTCGTCGCTTGAAATCGCAAAACGCTCACTTTGATGGGGCTTTGTCAAATTCATTTATGGTTCCATCTTCCCTTTTGCGGGAAGGCGAGTGAAATAGAACCTCCCCTGCCCCTTTAAGCTAGGGGGATTCAATCGCCCTTCGGTGTATCGCCAGTTGTGGAAAATGGTGGGGGGCAGTTTCCGTGATACCAGAGGGACTTCTCTTAAAGTCATGGTAGTCGTGGGAGTCAAGCACTTTGGTATCACGGTTGGGGTTATTTTCGACCAGCGCTAGGCATGGGCCCCAAAATGCATGCAAGTTCAATACCCTGTAAAGGGTCTTTTTTTGTTCACTCTTGCCTTGGATTGCATTTATCAAACCAATGAGTTGATGTACAGCTCTTAATTTCAACAATGAAGTTAACTCATGTGTGTTTACAAGAAGATAAGCGGAGGGGGTACCCTCCCCCGGACTAACATGGAAGCTCCCAGGACCCCACTGGAAGACTTGGTTATTTTTACAGAGGTCAATTGGGGGAACTTCCGGCTGTTAGTTCGAGTGAGTGCAGGAGTTTGTGGGTGATCCATTTTTAACAAACAGGCTGGGTTAGTAGTTCTGGGGACCCCAATTGTGTTTCTTGAAAAACCCGTTTGGGTTCCAGCTCACATCTGGCACCCAATGTGCAACTCCAACGGCGAACTTTGGGTAGTAGTTGAAGTGATTTGCAACCCTTATGTTGGACAATTAGTTTAAATCTTAACATACAACAAACAAACAAAAAAACAACCACTCACGCAAACAAACGCAAACAACAAACAAACAGGAGCAAAACACCACCAAACAACGGGGTCGTGTTCCTTTTTCTTTTTCTGGGCCTCGCCCCTGGACGGCCTGTCTCTGCGCTCTCTCCTCCCCATGGGAGGCATGATCCTCGGGGCGAAGGGCGTGCGCTTCTGGGGAGCCTCGTTGCTCTTCGTGATGGACGCCGAGGCGGTCCGGGCGCAGGACGCCGAGAAGATCGCCCCTCGGCCCCCCGAAGTTTCTGGGTTGGAGACGTGGGCGAGGAGGCTTGACGGGCGGGCCTTTTTTTTTTTCTTCTTCATTTGGTTCCCTGCAAAACCAACAAAAAAGGGGGACCCCCCCCAAAAAAAAACACCCCAGCTTCCAACTCGCTATTTGGTGTTTTTATCGTTTTTCCGTTTGTCCTCTACAAGAACCAAAAGATCAAATCATTTTTTTTAGGGGACTCCCCGCAAAAAAGAGAGAGTGGTTTTTCCTGTTGGTTCTTTAGCTTTTTGAAAGATATGAGAGGGCTTTGCTCACACAATAGAAGAACGCAAGGGTATAAAACTTGTCAACGGTCAACGGTTTTCCTTTGACGGGACTACATTCCTACCCCTGTTGACGATCGCCTTTGACGCAACCCTACATATATAGGGGGAGGGTGCGGAGGCTTTGTGTGAAGCAGTGGGCAAGCCATGACACAACTCACAAAGGTGTGCAAACTTGCAACCATGAAGGCTCCTTCCATAGATCTCCCTCATATTTAATAGGTGAATTGTTGTAATTTGCCCTGATTCACCCCGGGATGCTTTCAAACATCCAATTTTCGAGGCATCTGTTTGTTCCACGGATGGCTTTACCTTTTGATTCCTTTCAATTGTCCGTTAGTCATGCACCCTTACAGACATTCCCCATTTTGTACCATGTGTCGTCTTGATCATTCGAGGGGCCCCTGCTTTGACAAAGCAGGCAGAGAAGCCCAAGACCGAGGCAATTTGTGACCCAAGCTGCAATCAACCAGTTCTTTGAGATGCCTGGGTTTGCTTGATTCCAAACCAAGGGGCGGCTCACATCTAAGCTACAACAACTCACTTCCTGAGTTCATGAACTTTAAACTTTTGGGAAGACCATTTTAGTGGTAAATATAAAGTTGGAACTTTTTTTGGGCCATCCACTCAGCCAGTGAGACAAGCCGTGTTTTCGTTAGCACCCCTGAATTGCTGCTCCCCGTTCAGAGCGCCACGGCCCAACCCAATCCGCAAGCCCGGACATTGCAAGTACCAGGGATGCCGCCAGGATTCCCATCACCAGATGGCCCACAGGGCCAATGTCTGCTGAATGCCAATATTTTTTTGTTACTGGGAGATCCAACAACTCTCTTTTTGTAACTTGGTCAGGGTAACCTTAGGTTTGGGGGCGACGATTTTGTGTTCCAATGGCTCACCATGCAGCCGACACTTCTTGAGGCCGCGTCCTTCGCGGCAAAGCTCATTGACTTCAGCAACGCGGAGTTTGTGGGCCCCTCGCCTGGGTTGGGATGCATCAAAATGGGGGAGACCCTCAAAAGGGTGGTTGCGGTTTTGGTTTCTCTTTGAGCCAACCTGATCAGAGGGTACCCTCAAAAAAGCCACCCGCTTCTTCTACTAAATGCCTTTTGGCACTAATTCCAGCGAGCTCACCTGGGCAAGCGGAGCTCGCGCTTGCGTTGTGGTATTTGTTCAAGCCGGATGACCTTTTTTGCCCGGGTGGCGTTGTGGAATATGCAAACTTGAGTAAGCCTCGAGTGGCTTGAAGACATGAAGCCATTTCAGGGTCTTTCTTTTCAGAAGACCACACCTGGGGAACAGGGAATATAGGGAATCAGCAGACCTGCAAACAGTTTTCATGGTATGCTGAGTGAGAACCAACTTGCCCTATCCACCAAATCGCCGCCCCAACCGCGTAGCCAACCTAAGGGAGAAACCTTAGGACCAGCCTTAGGAGCTTTTCCCCTCACAGGACGTTTCTGGAAACCGGAGTTCGGGTTTCTTACGGCTCGAACCGGAGCAATTCTGGAGCATGCCAAGGCGATGGCCCGGACCGGGAATTGCTGCGGGCGCTCCAGAACTTCTCCTCCGCGCTGCAGGCGCTGCTGAAGAAGAAGGCAGAGGAGGAGAAGACCGGCTGATGTTCCTTGCTCCCCTCCGCGTGTTTTTGTTTTTGTTCTCTTCTTTTTCTCCCCTCTTTTTCCGGCGGTTTTGTGTCTTTTGTGTGTTTGTTTGCCTGTCTGTCTCTCTGTTTTTTTTTTTTTGTGTGTGTGTGTGTCCGTGTTTGAAGTAGCCCTTTATTGATTTTGGACAGAGAGCCGGCCTCCAGCGGATTTTAAGCTTGCTGTAGGTAACCCGTCGGCATGTTACTTTTAGTTTTTAAAAGGGTGGAGCAGGGAATCGCTGGGTTGCGTGTTTTTGTTTTGAAAATCCCCGAAAGATAAACATGGGTGACTTGCCCCCAGGCGTTTCTTTGCCTTTTTCGAGCAACCCCGAAAAGGCAACCAACTGACGACACGCCCACTATCCACGGAGAGCATCTGGACTCGGGAAGGGAATCCTCCCAGAGAAATATCTTCGAAGGGATCCAAACGCGTCCAGCCTCCAACATGTATTTTGTTATGTGCGGCCTCATTGCGCGTTGGTGGGTTGCAGTTTGTGGATGCCAACAGTTGAAACTTTGGTACTGCTCGTGGCGCCATTCGAGAGGTATGTAGGTACGTTGGACGACTGTATGCCTTGCCTGCTGTCAGCCAGTTCGTCCGGGATCAACAAGTCAAACTCAAGTTTCCCATTTTGGTTTAGTCGCTCCCCTTCAATTGCCCACAGAAGTTCGTGCCATCATGTTTTCACCCTGACAGAAATTGTGCCATATGCATATGTATGTGTATATTTTTAAATAGGGCATAAATATACGTATATATGGTCCCGTGTTCCGTGTTGCTACCCCCCCCCCCCCCCATATGGTATGGTCCCCCAGGACCCCCCCCCCCCAGCCCGAGACCCCGAGCCCCCGGATCCCGGCACCTATGGTCCCACCCCCACCCCGACCCCCTGAACTCGCACCCCGACACCCCGGCACCCCCACCCCCAGGACAAGCCAACCCGCAACCAACCATAAACCCACCCTAAACTAACCCTAAACCAACCCTAAATACACCCTAAACCAAACCCTAAACCGTAGACCTCTAAACCTAAACCAACCCTAAATCAACATAAACCAACCCTAAACTAACCCTAAACCAACCCTAAACTAACCCCAAATACACCCTAAACCAATCCCTAAACAATAAACCCTAAACCTAAACCAACCCTAAACCAACCCTAAATAAACCCTAAACCAAACCCTAAACCGTACACCTCTAAACCTAAACCAACCCTAAACCAACCCTAAATCAACATAAATCAACCTAAATCAACCCTGAACCAACCCTAAACTAACCCTAAATACACCCTAAATATACCCTAAACCAATTCTAAGCCAACCCTAAACCACCACAACCCAACCACAGGACCACAACCACAGGGGGGGGGGGGTACTTGTCTGACCCATGACCATTGGGGGGGGAGGGGGGGGGGGGCTGGCAGCGCTGTACCATATATATATATATATGTATGTACATATTATGTATGTATGTCTGCGTACATGTGTATACGTGTACTTCCATCTGTACATATACACACAACCATAGACATATATATATATATATGTATATATAAACATATATATATATATACCTCATCTACATAGATTGTATATATATATATATATATACACGTATTTACACAAAACATAGCTATAAATGCATAAATACATACATATATATATATATATATATATATAAATATATATATATACATACACATAAATAAAAATATGAACGAGCCTTCCCTTGGCCCGCGCCCTCCCCTTCTCGGAGGAGGACCCCGTGCTGGCGGTGCAGTGCCCGGACCTGCGGGAGCAGGACGCGGAGCAGGCGGAGGCCGGCGCCCAATCTCCGGCGGGGCTTCGGATTTTGAGGATGGAGACGGGCCGATTTTACAACCACTCGATTTTCCCCTCACAGGAAGTTGCTGGTAAGGGAGACACCTTGGAATAGTTGCAACTTGGTCTGTTTTGCAACCTCGGGTTCTTTTTTGGGGGGGGAGAACTACCCCCATTTGCGTCTTGCGTGATTCCGAGGACATGGAGGACATTCCAGTGGAAATTACTCTAGGGGTACCTTCCATTTCCATTCTTTCCAGGGATCCTTCTTTCCAAAAAAAAAGAAGAAAACACTGGGAGAAACAGCTGGTTTTTGAGAGAAGAAGGATGGTTGAAAAGAACGACCACTTAATGATTGGGGTGGTTTCTTAGAGATCTTGCTTGCAAACTCACTCTAAGTGACATGTGGCACCCCCACCCCCCCAAATGGGTGTGGCTCGAACTTAGGCTGCTGGGGGCAAACCGCAGGATTGAGCTTTTGTATTCATACACCAAGGTGGCATTTGGGGTGCCATTCTTTTCAGCCACAGTCAAATGGCGGCTTGTTCTTTGTCATATTTTCTGACCCAACCTGAGAATGGCCTCAAAACAGCATGCGCCTCTACAGATCACATTTTTGGCCCAACAGGGAGTTTCCCTTGATGTTTTGCGGGCAGATACCGGGCTCCCTACATGTCCCTTCTCCAGCCCGTTTCCAGAGAAGCGGCGTTTCCCTGCCAGGCCCACAGAAAATGGGCATGCAAGATGCGTTGCTGCCGGAGTCCTTGTCTACGTGGCCACATCAGCAGCGAGGATGACAAGGACGAGAAGGAGGACACTGATCCGAAACTATGGGATTTTGCGTCCTTTTGAGGCTGTCGCCTATTTTGACATGGCTGTGGGTCAAAAATAGGTACCTCAAATGGAACCCTGGTAAATGGAAACATGGACTAAAACCTGCGGTCCCCTGGTGGTTTAATTTTGACCCACACCCACATACCGTGACATGCCCATATTTGCTTTTCCTCCCCGCACAGACTCAGCTTTGAGTTGTCAGTATGGTGCCGCTGAAGAAACGGCAGGTAGGTGTATCGTTTTTCGCCGGGTCCAAGTCCAGACGAGGAAAAGGATGGGCAGGATGACAAAGATGGGCAAGATGAGAAGCCGACCGATTTCACCCTGGAAGAACAAAAAGGACCGCACGTGTGACGCGGCCCCGCTGTGCCTGGAGCTGCGGATTCGCCTGCAGTGGTTTTATTTTTACCAAGGTTTGTTGCGATGAACTCTAGCAGAGCCCCTCTTCGAAACGTGGAAGTTTTCCCATAGCCTGCCAGTCCCACAATTGGGCCGAGCATAACACTCCCCCGCAAGCAATCAGAGCGCTTACAAGCCAAAAGCCAACTATTTAGCCCCCGGACACCCTTGACTTTAATGGGGAGGTGAATTTTGCGTGCCTTTCTAATTTCTGACCCCTTTCAGCCAAAATGCTCAACATGGCATCTCACAGGCTTGGTTTCTCAGCAGGATTTTACGGGCCGATGCAATGATGGGGTTTGGCTAACATGGCCTCGGTAGAGGGTCGATCACGAGGGCATAAAGCGGCCAATGAGTGGTCCTGAAAAGAGGCCCAGAGGGCAGTTTGGAGACACATTTTGTTTGTTTGTTGGCATTTGAAGAGACACCACAAGTGGCTACCCCCCCCGCCCAATTTTGGGGTACCTCTGTTTAGAGAAACGCCCATATTGGATATGAGGCTGAAGAGTGTGAATGATGTTGAGGTGGCTTCATTTGTCTGCAGAGTGCTTTTCTTTCTTGCATGTCTTCCTCCTTCTATCTCCTTCACTACACACAACCCCTGGATTCATGAACCTGTTTCACAGCCCAAAGCAAGCAAAACCCAACATAAGGCGCTCTTCCAATCCGCATCAACAAGGGCTTGAGTTCACTTTCCCATCAAACAGGAAATTGGCCCCTTTTTGCGGATAGTATCTTTCGGAAAACCAAAGCAAACCTAGCGTGTTTGAGAGGACCGGACATAGCATTGCCTTTGTCTATTCTTAAGCTTTTTAGCCTCCTCCAGGAGCTTTTCTTGAGCAAACTTCTTTGGGTGCAGCTTTTGGTACTGGATGTCATTGAAGTTGGATCATCCGTCCACCTGGATATGGGTCAAAATTAAACCACCAG